ACAACCGCGGCGCAATGGTCGTGCAGGGACGGGCAAGGAGCGCAAAGAATAACAAGGGCTTGAACAGGTATGTCAGCCAGAAATGGCAGGTCAGAGAAAGCGTAACCACCCCCACCAGGATGAGCGAGACTGGCAAATCGGTAACAATGGACTAGGAGAAGGCTGAGGCACTCAACAACATTTTTGCCTCAGTCTTCACTGGCAACCCCTCTCGAGTGGATGGATCGCAAGGAGCGAAGTCCCTCCCACTTTGCTGAGGGATCTTCTTTGAGAAGATCAGGTTCATCACCACCTGAGGAACCTGATGAGATGCATCCCAGAGACCTGAGGGAATTGGCTGATGTAGTTGCCAAGCCACTCTCCATATTTGGAGAGTCATGGCAGTCAGGTGAAGTCCCCGGGGACTAGAAAAGGGGAAACGTTGCACCCATTTTTAAAAAGGTTAGAAAGGAAGACCATGGGAACTACCACCCTGTCAGCCTCACGTCTGTGTCTGGGAAGATTATGGAACAGATCCTCCTAGAAGCTATGCTAAGGCACACGGAGGTGCTTTGAGACAAAGAGCGTGGCTTCACCAAGGACAAGTCCTACCTGACCAACCCAGTGGCCTTCTATCATGGAGTGACTACATCAGTGGGCAAGGGAAGAGCTATAGATGTCATCTATTTGGACTTCTAAGGCCTTTAACGTGGTCCCCCAAAACATCCTTCTCTCTAACAAGGCCTTTAACATGGTCCCCCAAAACATCCTTCTCTCTAAATTAGATATGGATTTAACGGGTAGACTGTTTGGTAGACAAGGAATTGGTGGGATGGTTGCATCCAGAGAGTAGTGGTCAATGGCTCAATGTCCAGATGGAGATTGGTGACAAGTGGTGTCCATCAGGGTTTCATACTGGGACCAGTACTGTTCTTCATCAATGACATAGACAGTGGGATCGAGTGCACCCTCAGCAAGTTTGCAGATGACACCAAGCTGAGTGGTGCGGCTGACACACCTGAGAAACAGGATGCCATCCAGAAGGACGTCGGCACACTTGAGAAGTGGGCCTGTGTGAAGCTCATGAGGTTCAACAAGGCCAAGTGCAAGGTCCTGCACCCGGGTCAGAGCAACCACAAGTATCAATACAGGCCAAGGGGTACTGGTGGATGAAAAGCTGGACATGAGCTGACAATGTGTGCTCATAGCCCAGAAAGCCAACCACATCCTGGGCTGCATCCTTGTTCAGCCTGGAGAAGAAAAGGCTCTGGGTTGGACTAGATGGCCCTTAAAAGGTCCCATCCAACCCAAACTATTCTGTGATTCTATGATGCAAACCCCTTCTTCTTTGCACCAAATTGCCCATCTTCCACCCATTTGCTGACACCAGCAATGTTAGTTGAACATTACTGAGCACCTGCTGCGGGAGGGTTCCCATGAAGCATTAGTAAAATCAACCCATAATGCTGCTAATGTTTTTCTTTGTATTTATTTACAGTGCAGCCACAGAGCATGTTTGTCGCCACCCACAGCCCTTTACATTCCTAACAGAACAGAAAGACACAAAAGAAAGCACAACTTTTTTTTTTTTCCAAAATAGAACTTTAATATATATATGCATATATACACACACACACTATATAGAAGCTGAAAGAATGCAAAAAAAGGGATGGCCCACAAACTGTTTTAGGTGCGCACAGCATATGGGTTTCTAAAAAAAAAACCAACCCCACAGCAGCTCCATTTCTTACCTGCTTCATGATGTCATGTTTCACACTGTCGTCAAACCGCAAACACAGGGCTCGCGTTCACTGAGCAAAATCACAATCAAATGAATAAATGAAAATAAAGATGAAATATTTCTCAACCCAGTCCAGTGTCAAAAAAAGCTTAAAAGTCTAAATGTACAAATTCAGCCTTAAAATGGTTTAGTGCAAATATGAAAATTAACAGCATAATTTTAAGGTATTTAAATAAGCTTTAATATAACTATAGTGCTTCGTTCCTATACACGTTTTCCCATCAATAGTTGCAACAGCATGGGGGCATTTCTTGTTAAGAGTGGGGAAAAACCCAGAACCTGGGAAGAAATAGCATAAAGTAATTTGTTAAATCATTTATTTATATTTGACTTAAGTTTATTAAAGGGAGATAGGGTATTTATTAGTGGAGGAGCAAAATATTTATGAATTTACTGATTCTGGAGTGGATGGGCAAGGGGAATGGGAGCGAGGGGGTCAAGAAACACTGTCCCCTTTCCTGACATTCAGCACACACAAATGCTGGTGGCATAAATCGTCCAATTAGGGTGGAAAGACAGTCTGTTCTGTGCTGTGCGTTGCATTAGAAGGTCTCGTCGTCATTGCAGTCAGCCGTCCAGTGCCCAAACATCTCACAGGTATCGCAATAGGGGCGTTCTTCTCTCCTGCTGCCATGGTAAGCTGAGTGGGGCGGCTCCTCCAGCATCTGTGCCTGGGTCGGACAGTCTTCAGTGTCGTGAAGATCAAAGCAGCCGCAGATATCGCAGAAGAGACGAGGTTTCTTCTTTGACAAGCTTTCTTCCTCACTGCAAGATCAGCACCAGCGCAAGTCAAGCAGGGTACTTCTCCTTCATAAAGGAGAAAGACCTGCTGCCCTGCCCTGCCTGATAAGCTGTCTCAGAATTATTGAGACTAAGGAAACACCACAGTGGTCAACAACAACAACAACTAATTACAAAACCCCTTCTGAAGATCTTCTGACATCTTGACTACCTTGCAGTACCCCCATAATCCCTTATACTGTAATATTTACTAAACAGACCTCTCTGTTTGTATAAATATTTGCACAAATCCTGACTATATTTAGAAAAACCACATGTAAACTAGTTTGTCTTTTCTCTTGATAGAAAAGATCTGAAGTCACAATATATCGAATAGGTTTTAGCTCTATTTCTCTGGACTGGATCTCCCCATCTCAATGCAGCTACTGGCCTCTTGAGAACAAAGACTCTTCTTGATTTGGAACGGGCCAAACCCAACCAAGACTGACAAGAAATATATTACAATACATCACTGTGTGTGACTGATAACTGCAGAGGATCATTTTGCACTACCAGATACGTAGTAATGGACTTAAGAAGGCGGGATTCAATCACCCTAAATTCTAGGGAAAGCTACGTTTGTCTTTCCTGATAGCTGAAATCAGGCTGGTGCATTGTGCAGCTGACAGAACTGACTGCTACCAACAGTTCCCAAAACACAAACCAAGGTTTTCCTTTAGGATTTATACCTGTCATAGTTATTTATCTCCTCTTCGTTGCCATTGAGGGCTGCTTCACACATTCTTTGTATTTTCAGGTTCAATTCTTCGTTTCTCCTTTGCAGATCTACTATCACTGAATTCAGGAAGTCAATCTATGATAGTTCAAGAACAAGGACAGTCAGCAGGTTGAGGTCTGCACCTCAGAGAAAGCGAGCAACAAAGGAATAACCCTCAAACTGACACATGCATTAACTCCTACTACTGGATCACTGTATTACAGAGATCACATATGGACACTGAAAGAACAAGGGATAGGAACTTCCCCAGGGAACTCTGAGACCCTCAGGGTGATTTCTGTGCAGGGGGCTGGGTAGTTGTGCCCAGCCAATACGTCTGAGACATCAGTGGGTCTCAACCCACCACCGATAGAGCGATAAATCCAGTTGTGCAATTCTGATGAGAACAGCGTCTCTGCTTCTCTGAACCTGCAGCTCTAGGGAGTACTCTCAGAGCTGTCCTGGAGGGGCAGTGGGACAGCGCAGTACACCCATACGACATCTCCCAAAGCTAGTTTGAGCCCCAGAGACCAGTAGGCCAGCACTGCAGCAGCACTGCTGAATGTAATCAAGTAATGCTTAGCAAATTACCATAGTGAACAAAATAAAGGAAGCCAAGAAGTGGAACAAACCTCATGCTGATCAGAAGGAAGGGTTGCCATCAGCAGGTGAATTCAAGGAGGCAGAAAAACAGAAAAAGATTGGCGATTAGTGTGCGTTAATTGCACAACTTTTGATCTTTGTACAGACTAGGAAGAACATTTTTTAATCAATAGGACTGACATTAGAGATCTAAAAAGGACTTCTATAATGTGCAGAAGGTGCTTCTATTCTAATCATGTTTCCTAGGCATTTGTTGTCATTGGTTGCCTGTTGCACAGCAGCGCTTCACATGTTCAATTATGATTATCATACTCCTTGATACACGTTTTTCCTGTTACCAAGCACATGCTCACTGAGCAGAATCCTTGCCCCATTGCCGCCAACCCTCATCCTGAGTAAAGTTCTGCAGTTAAGAAGCAAAGATCAACATTTCCAACTGCAGAAGCTTAGACGTAGCACATGAGGTAAGGTAGCCCATTTCTCAAAGATGGCAAGCACCACAGATTCAGGTGGGCCACACCTTATTCCTTGTTCACATCTAAGAAACCTTTGGAAAGAATGCCAATAAGCAGTTTGAGTGTGCTCTGCTGGGCTGGACCTCACCAACAGGCTGCAGGTCAAAAATCACCACCCCTGCTTTCCTGCTTGCTTCCTCACGTTCCAATAACCTGAACTATTTCTCCAGTATCACTCATCACTTGATTCTTAATATTTCCTGCCATTAGTATTTCTCCTCCGAAGCGGAAGGTTACAAGATAAATCTGCCCATTATAATTCTGATGTACAAAATCTGATTAGGAGCTGTCTTTACAAAAACATTTCACTCTGTCTATAGACACACTGCTGTTTTAGCATGCTGATGTTTCAGATCAAGTACCTGCTTCTCTTTTGCAATTTCATCTTGAAGTAGATTAGCAGCAATGTCACCTTTAAAGAAAAAAAACAAAACCAAACCAAACAAAGTATAAGTATCCAATAATCTAAATTATGAAACATACAATGGCTTAGACAGAGACTGAAATAATGTAATAGCCTGTAGTCTCCAAAACATCTTATTCTCACTGCTTTCTCGTCACTCAGTATAAGCTTCAGTAAAGGTGTATATTTTTGGTGTGATTTTTTGACTGGTGAGTTACAGAAGCATATTCAATATTACACATAACTTATTAAAATACAAAAAGTGTATGTATAGGTGACATCTGAAGCTAATAAATCTGCAAGGGAATGCTCCTCTGTTGCAGTGATGAGACTATAGCGGTATGAAGCTTAAGAAACTCATCATGAGGTAAGCACGAGTGTCTAGAACATGGAATTCCCAGTCCTGTGCTTGGGTAGGTGGTTTTGTTACATCACTTTGCAGCTACAGCAAGGAAAAACAAAACCAATCTGAGAGAGGCTCGTGCACAGAAGCCACACCATAAACAGGATGAAGTTTTGTGGCATATGCACATGTTTCATTTCAAGTCAAACTGCCCTCCGCCCTGGTGTAAACTGCCACCGTTGGTAGCTTTCACACTTTGCCACTGGTCAGAATGCCCTCATTCAAGTCTTACGTGTGTCCTACAACAGGAAAGTCACGTGTCTCAGGAGGTTCAGTTAGTTAAACTTCCTTTTAACTATCAGTTAACAGTTATCAGTAAACAGTTTAAAAGTTGCAGAAATCTACAAGAATAAATGCTGAAGGCACAGAGACAGTAAAGAGGCTGTCTCTTTTACCTGAGGAGCTAGTTACAGTTAAAGGCTGTTCGTTGTTTTCCTTGAGTTTTTGCTCCAAGTTCTTCACCTTTTCCTCAAGTTTCAATTTATCAGACTCCAGTGACTTAACCACTGACTGCAAGGTTTTTGCAGAAGCGTTTTCTCCACGGAGCACTGTGATCTGTAAGAATTATTTAAGAATGCTTAGACCTTCCAGAATGAAGTCAGAACACCAAGGCAACATCCTTACTAGTAAGGGCTAAATACACACCAGAAGTCACCTAAGTAGGCACAGATACCTAAAGATTCAATTCTAAGGTTTAACTATGCTGAATTAATAAAGAATAAGAATTAGCCAAGTCTTCAGTAGCCAGCATACAAAGCCATATGCTTCTAGCAATAACTTAATCTGAAATTACGAAGCATCCCACTGTTCTTCATTTACCTCATTTCTGAGTTTTTCCAGTTCCTCATCTTTTTGTGTGATCAAGGCACTAGTAGCACTGATGGATTTTTGTAAAGATGCTCTTTCTTCATCGATTTCTTTTTTTAATGTTGATTCTCTAAAAGAAAACCAAATACAACCAGGAATCATCTAAAGAATAGATTATTGTAGTTGCCTAAAGAAGTTTAATTTAATTTCAAGTATTAGACTACTGTAAGAAGTGGTTCTTAAAAAGCAAATTTAAATTCTGTACTTGACTAAGATTTTATATATCTATAAACATTTAAGATGTTACAACTGTGGAAACAAAGCAAAACGTTTACCTAGGTAGTACATGCCAGAATCTGCATATCATCGTAGCCATTTGAATTTAAAGAAGCAATAGACTGGGGAGATACAGGATAAACAAACACGTTGCACAATATTCCACAAAACCTAACTTCAGAGTTTTGTTACTTCTTGAAAATTATTAACAAGCAACAAAACATACATGCAAAGCTCATTATACAAGTTGTCATGCAAAGCATTGATGATGCTGGAAATATCAGCTGGTCCTCACTAATTTCAGTGATGTCATTATTTCCTGAAACACATACTTTGAGAGTTTCTGGGCCTTTAAAAAATACTGTTTCAGCACAAAACCATGTGGGATTTGTTTTACTTCATGGAAGAAGGGTTAAAAAGAAATCCTCCAGAGCAGGCACAACCCCTTTCTCTGTACACATGTCCAGTTTTCCCAACCTTTTCGGGTGATTTAATAAGAGATATGACTTCTGCCTATAAATCCTGTCCTGGCAGTCTTCTTAAGGCATCGTAGCTATGACATCCTCAAACTGAAGTTACTGAGTATTCCTGACAGGTCACACAATACACGTGGATGAGTAATTCTCCGATACGAGGACTATTGCTACGGAAGTTCCTTACAAGCAGAAAGTTTTTTTGTTTGTTTAAAAAAGACAGTTACTCCCGAAATCTTTGTTTACTTATCTAGAAGAGAAGCTTGTTTTTCAGAGCACCACACAGTGCCCAGCAACTAGGTGTCAACTCTCCGAGCTTCTGCAGGTGTAGCTAGTTTTCTATGCAATTCTATACATTTTGGTTTGAGATGATCGCAGTCTCACTGCCACAGCAGTGAGCTGCTTCTCTTCTTGCTAGCCAAGAGTGCTGAAGACACACAAGGCTACCTGAATGCATACGCACAACACAAAAAGCACGGAGTAGCCAATACTTCAAAGATACCAAGTGACATAACGATTTCATTTATGTAACTACACTACACTCTCTTAGGACTGTTCAAAGTGACCAAGGGCAGAACGTGTCCTTGTGCGATGACGCTCCGTACGCAGGGGACAGCTATTAGTTCAAATGGAAAAATTTTCATATCCACAGTATGTACAGTTAGTGAGAGCCATGATACCCAGACCGTGAACTACAATAAATCTCACCGACTCAAGATAAATAGGAAACTCAACAATGAGAGCACAATTAATGCAATTCTTTCATTGTTAAGATTATACTCAGGAATGGAAGCAGCAAGTGGAGAATCTGGGGTGTATAAAAGCTGATACAGCTACCAAACAAGAACCAAAAAGTTGATTTTTGGTTTTGGTATACTTTTTACAATGAGAGAATTAATATAAGCAGAAACATGACAAATTGCAGACTGCATGATCTTGCCTTCAAATACAAGTTATACTCCTGTTAATAAAACCCAAAAGAGCAATGGCATTTCATAGATTTCCTCACCAACCCCGATTCAGCAAAGCACTAAAAGCATGACAGCAATCTCTGTGTTTTTCAGCCACACGCTCTAGCCTAACCCATCTTTTAAAATGCTTTGCTGAATTGGATCAAAAGTGCAGGGTGGTGGTGTGGGAAAGAAATGTGCCACCAATGCATGGGACACGGCCGACAGAGCACAGCTGCCCTCTCCAATCCACTGAGCTGCAAAGCCAGCGTTTACTTAAGGCTGGGAAAATGGGAAAGTACATCTGGAAGTTGCTGCTCACGAGCTCTCTTGTACCCGAGACTTCACTTGGGCTTCCCTTTGCTATATGCGCTGCTGCAAAGGGCAGGTGGAAACCCCAGTGACTCATCTTGTGCTCAAGAGCTTGTTATTTAGCCCATGTTTTCACTTTTTGGTCAGATCTTCATCTTGGAGATCAAGACCAAACATGCTTTTTGTACAAATATGGTTAACTTGCCATTTATTGGGCTTGATTTCAACCACCACAGGCATTTAGGTCGTTGAAAGAGGCAAACAGTTTGTAAGCATATAAATATATATGTACAAATTCAATACAGGAATCTCAAATACTATTACACAAGGGGAGAGAAACAAGAGAAGAAAAGAGGAGAGAAAACAAGAGGGGGGGGAAAGATCCCTGTACTGTAGCATTGGGGTTTTTTTCTTTTACAGGGCAGTCTCTGCAGGAACCATGCTTTTTTTTTTTTTTTTTTTCTTCACCAGCTGAGAGTCTTCCCCACTGATGCTCTCAGCTTCAGTATCGTTTGTAGTATGAATCATATGAGAGATAGTAAACATAAGGAACACATGTTGAATGTGAAATAACTACATAGTGATAATTTGCAAGAATAATCCTGTGGAAAGTATTTCTTTTATCAGGGGAAAAAAAAAAAAGAAATTGATTCAGTGAACTTAAACTTTTTCCCTGCCTATTCAAGTCCAAAGTATCTGCTTGCCAGCAGGGATTAAAAAAACACAATAAAAATAACTTTAAAAATTTCACTTTTTTGACGAGATTAAAGTATATTTTGAGCAGTGTGTGGAAGTCATGGGAGAGAGAGGTTTTTCTTTTGCTTTAACATTAGAAAAATCACCCAGATTCTTCCCTTACTACAAAAATAAGAAATTCTAAGAATGAAGCAAATACCTTAAAGTGTTACTGGGCAAGCTTTAAAAATGCAAGATAACAAGAACCACGTTAGAAACATGGAGTAGAAATGCAAAATACTGTAAGGAAGAACTAAATTTGCACCAAGGGGCTCTGTAGTTTTGGTAAAAAATATAGACTTTTTTTTTTAAATATATATATATTGCTGAGTATTTTACAAAACAAAAGCAAGACACCAAGGGACAAAGGCAGCCAAAATATGTACAACAACTTTACTTAAAAAAAAATTAAAATTATTTATTGTAACGTGGATAGACTTTCTTGAGTCTTACCATTAAAGACACACAGATATAGCAAAGGAAGCAAGGGTAGGAAAGGGAAGAGAGAGGAATGAAATGAGTATCGATAAATAGCGCAAGCTCAAAGACAGTAAGACAGTTAGCAACCCACAATGAACCTAATGAGCTGAAGTAACATAGAACCCCCTTAGATTCATAAATATCAAATTCCTGTCACCCCTAGCCCGACTATTTCGTAGAGGGAGTTGCTAGAATACAGGAAGAGAATTCCTGTGGGTGGAAGGAAGGTGAGAAAACTACTGCTAGAGATTTGACCTAATTGAAACAAAAAGATGTCTTTTTTTCCTATATCTCAAATTCTTAAGATAAAAGGAAGAAATCATCGCTCAAGCAACTTCAGTGGAATTTGAGAATTTGGAGACACTCTTTTTTATTTAATTAGCTCTTCATTCAGCCTAACCTTTTTTCTTCCAAAAAAGGTCAGATGTATTTTAAGCCCTAGTGGCCTGCAGTCTGCTTCAGCGAGGTCAACTGTTTCTACTACTTGTTTTACCATTTTCATTGGAGTTCATTCAACACTGTTGAGAAACGTCATTAAGCCAAACTTGGGCATCTCAGTGTAACTGACTGAAGGTGAAGTAATGTTAAAACTCACTTTAATATTTCATAAATATCTAAGTTATTTCAGGCAGCTCACACAGAGTTAAAACAGGAGAAAGAAAATCAGAGCCATACACCTTGCTTTTCATAACTCACTACAGAATTTCTCTTTTAATATGTATGCTACAAAATAGAACTGCTGGGAAGTACTGAATGAATCTTGGGTCTCCACTCCCTCATTCCTTTCCTCAAGTAACTTTTAAACATGTTTTAAAACATGTTAAATGACAGGCTGTAAACAGCATTCTAAGCTGTCAGCAGCACGAGTATCATCCTTTCCCCTCCCTTCACATCAGATATGCTGGAGGTGATCCTCAGTTGGTGTAGACATAATAATTATTGTGGGTATCAAATGGTCTTTGCACCAGCTAAAGATTTCTCTCATCTTCTTCACCTCATCTTACAAAAATAACTTACACTTATGCTATTCTATGCAGCTAAAGGCTGAGTGATCCAGCTCCCAAGGCTGCTTAAAGCTGGAGGTTCAGCTGTTCACCTGCGTCTCTGTACAACAACTGACCCAACTCTTACATTCTCTGAGGAAGCTTCAGCTTGTGTAATACCCTGTGTGCCTGCTGTCCTTTAGAAGAGTGCGAGCTAGAACAGAGTATGACCCACCTCCGAAATAACAGAATATTAAGGAATAAAAAAGGGATCAGTGTATAATACTGAGTAGCTAAGGATGTGCATGAATACCAAAGTGCCACTCACTGTTCTTTGTTGCGACCACTCTAAATTCAGGAAACTGAACAGGGGTTTGTTTGTTTTTCCTGGAACACACTCGGTGTCATGGAGAGCTGCATCTTTTTCTAAGGATTTGTATAACTGCTTTTGAAAAGCCCACATTTTCCTAAAGACATTGTGGCATTTAGCCAATTAGCTTTCCATACATATATTGCAGAAAGACAGTCAATTTTGTAATTTGGGACCATTTATTGAACAGCACAGTTTACAAATGGATGCCCCAGACACCCAGGACAAGTCTCCTGGCATTTAAAACCAGTGCTGAATGAACTGCAATAACTACTGCCACAGCGAACTCAATATCCCAAAACTATGAGAACAATCCATTCAAGGCTGAATAACCACTGCGTTTTTCTTTTTCTTTTTTTCTTTTCTTTTTTTTTTTTTTTAACGTATATAAGAGCATTATTGTATTTTTCTATTATTCCTTAAGAATTTGATGGGTCAGATCTGTATGCACACATATTTGTCAGACTGATGGACAATCCAATATTCCAGAGCAGACTTAAACCAAACACTAAACTGGTTACTGAAAAGAGAATACTACAATGCAAGAGGTGCATAACTAAAGAGCAAATGGTAAATACCACTGCTTAACACATTCTTATATTAATACAATTACATATCTGTCTCACTTTTCATAAAGAAATGGGGAAGATGTCATCTGTAAGCCAAACTATGATACAATAGAAAAGAACTGCTTTTTCTTAGCACTGTTTTTGTATTATGTTCTCTGAAGTTTTCTGTAGGACTGTATAGTTAAACACCCATCAGAAAAAACAACTTACCTCTTTTTCATCTCTAATAACTGGTTATTGAGTACTGATCTCTCCTCTTCCAGCTAAAACACAAGTACAAAAACACTACAGTTAATACACTAAGGATTGTTTCCTTAGTATAACATATCAGACCATCATTATCATCATAAAACAAACGTGGGAGAGAGTACAGAGCCTAAAAATCCTCAAAGTAATTGATTTTCTACTAGGACAACACACGCACACAGACACAAATTGTTCAGTGACCAAGCGTATTAGCTAGTGAGGGACTATTACTGCTTTATATGGTATTTTCACATCCTGGGTGCACAAGAGAGGTGTGAGGCCAGTATTGCCGTATACGATATTTCCAGGCTTCGTGCCCACCAAAGAGAACCGTAAGCCCTGGTGCGCCTGGCTGTTCAGTTTAGCCCAGTATTGGTGAATTACTGGATTTGCTGTTGTTCTGACCTGGATAATTGTACTACTGATCCGTATTTGTTACTGTACCATTATTTAGAGATAAATTATTGATCCCTGAAGCTGTTCGTCTGGTGTTTGTTACCATATCCTGAACCTGTAACTTGGTGGGGCCACCTTAAGCCCTTACAACTAGTAAGGCCTTCAACTGAAAATATTGTTGCTGCAGGTTCTTGAGGTCCAAACTGACATGCACACATAGGTTTAAGAAAAGCAAAACAAAACAAATAACCATGATGTATACAACAACAAAACTGTAAAGCCCCACCACAGAAACACTGGGGTAACTGAGCTTCTGATAAGGTTAAGAAATTAAGTATTTTTCAGGCCAATTAATTATTTTTCACTGTCTCCTCCTTTCCTCTTACTCAATGGTCAAAGTCAGCAATTACTGCCCTGCAGAACTGACTTGAACACAACCTCTGTTTAGATTTCACAAGTTTTCAGGGTTCATCCACAAGGGTAACAAGACATACATTTATAATGGAAACTTTACTACTTTCAGCACTTTGCAGACATTCAGGTTTGGCACAGAAAGCAAATGCAGCTCACCTAGATAAATTTTCTCCTCTGTGTTTTCTGACAAGTTACCTTCTCCTTTCATGTACTGCAGTGCTGTTAAGCATTCCAGGTTTAAGATTAATTGGTATCTTTTTGCTTGAGCTTCAGACAAGTTTATTAATACGAAAAATAGATACTAGAAGGGTGTAGAGACATACATTAGGAAGTCTTAAAGCAAATTAAAATGTCTCTCTCAAGGAAAGTGGCCGTTATACGACTGCTGAGCAGCCATAGTATTATAGGGGTATGGTCACATTTTTCCTGCAGGCAAGTCAAACCCAGCAATTTCAGCAGCAGCACAAAGTATACCCCCCGTTTCTGAGAATTTTTGTCTGCTTCCTACACAGAGACAGCCTGTGTGAACTCCTTACATCTGTACAAACTGGTGACAAAAAAAAAAAAAAAGAGAGGGAAAAAAGAATATGGAAATTTTGAGAAATGTTTTACTCAGAAAATCCTTCAACATTTGTGGAATGCTCCGAGATTGTGAGCATAAACCCTACATCTCTCCTCCCTTTTAGTTTCCTGGTTGGCTGTGGAGAGATGAGTGATTTTTGTACAGACCAAAACAGAAGTGGATTTAAAAGAGAGAAAAGTAAAGGACTAGATGTTGGGGAGTTGTGCAGCTTCTAAACCCCTGTTGCAGCTGCACTGAGTCATGGATCACGCCTTGAGCAGCTTTGTGGTAGAAGGGGAGAAAGGACACCCCTTCTCTCGTCAACATTTCTCCAGCAATCCACTCACTCTCTCAGCCTCAGAGCAGACTTCTTGCATACCTTTAATACATGATGGCCCAGCTGAGCTAGTAGATGTTTCTACACTTTTTCCAATGAAGTTAAAATGCCTGGGCAGGTCTGAGGCTACCAAAATACCATAACAAATAATTTGAAGCCAGAAAAGTTCCCCAAGCTCGGTATCTGACTGGGAATCTTTAACTAATTACAAACAGCTAATTATTTATGGATCAATATAGAAAAGTACCCCTCAGCATCTTTAGTACAAGACACTTTAACCTTTCGATGTCAGGATAAATCATTCATGAAAGAGTATTCATTAATTTTGCAAAGTGTGTCACATGCAGCCACAGATTCACTAACCCAATTGACTAACACACTTGCTAGAATTTATATAGTTACCATAGCGACTGCTCAAAATACTTAAAACATATGCTTGCTACCTTTCTTACTGCATTTTAATAGGCACATGCACAGAAACTCACACAGAGTGAAGCACTGCTACATACTGCGCGTTCCTCCCTACTGTCCAGTTTTTCAGTATCCACTGCATAAAATGCAGCTCCATGAGCAATCCTGTTCTATGTTTAACCTCTTCATTGCCACCACGGACACTTGTTCTCTAAAATCTAATTGAGCAATTCTTCATAGTAACATTTTTTCCACTGCCCATAGACAGCCTGAACCAAGAAAGCCCAAAGCGTGCTGCAACTTGGTGCCTAAACACAGCGTACATTCACCAGACTGACAGCCAAGTAGAAGTGGTGGTGGGGATCCCTGAGACTGCTAGCCCAAGACAGAGTCATCTGTGCGAGAATCCTCAAGGCCAGCTGGTTTTCTTGCCATTTCATTAAGAGAACTCAGCAGAGTCAAAGGTAGAACAAGGGGAGCGCAAGTTCAGGTTGGGTAAGATCTAAAGGGAACATGAAAAAAGTTGTGCTCCTCAGGGTAACAGCAGGTTTCCATCAGACTGAAAAGGATGGTTAGTACTTCACAGCCTCCAGATGAGACAGGGAATGCTTTTTAGGAGCAACCAGGCAATACGACAGTTCTGGGTGGGTGGACTGCACGTTTCACCAATGAAGAGCTGAACAATACTGAACTGAGAAGAGCTGCACTCATGTGACACTCGGCAGGAAACCTGCATTTTAAATGACACTATTTTGCCTCTGTTCCTTTTGCCACAACAGAGCTCCCTGAAATACCAAATGCCTCTTCCAGTCTTTTAGGAGGCCACGCAGTTCACAAGACCTAAAGACACCATAGCCCAACTACTATGTTTAGAAAATGCAACAGATGGCCTTCCCACGCTTCCAAGATTGGGATTACACCTTCCTTGCAGAAGAGGACATAATGCAACACAAATGGCTGAAGAAGGCAAACAGACGGTTTCTCCAAGCTTTACCAGATCTTCCAGATCTTTGATCTCAGAGCCATCTACTTGTGGGCAGAAGAGGCCATGGTGCGAGTGAACCAAGAACATTCCAGTGTGCAAGATGACTGATTAATCCCTATGCTTCACAGACTCAGCTCTATCCTGGCAATGAAAGAAGGATCCCTGCTGACGGATCCACAGTCGGCGGGATGCAGACAGCAGGACTCCTTCACAAGGCCATGTGGAAAGAACAGAGGCCACAGACTGAGATTGCAGTGACCACTGCCAGCCTATGCCTCGTGGGCTGACGGGTCCCTTCCTTTGGGGACTTTCTGTATATCAACTCTGGCTACATACGATAGGCAGAAAGATTTGCCCAATGTTGCTGAATCCTTTTCAAGTTACAACTCCTTCTGAAAATAACAGGTTGCCTCAAAGATTCTGAAATAATTTAAGAAAACATGTAGGAGTGGGGAGCAGAGCTCCCACTGGCTGTTTAGGATGACAGCGTTCTCTTACCATGCCACTACTCAGATGCAGCATGAGTCAGTGGTTGAGCCCACACGTCTGGGACTCCTGTTAATCATCTCCAAAGGCTCTTCAGGATGAAGCAGCTCGTGCATTACTCCTGTCAGCAGCCAAAAGGGTTTAGAAACTGGCCAGATCTGTAGTCACCAATCCTCAGTATTTCCAAACAGGACCCCTGGGGAAAAGTCAGCCTCTTGGCTTTAAAAATATTAGCCTTTGTTGGAGGATGGAGGAGATGTGTTCCACAGTCACTGGGATCGGGCATACCCCTCTTCTACACCAGTGCTATCTGAGGAAGGCAATACAGAAACCCACGTCTTTTACGTTCTTGCTTTTGGACTAGATCTTCCAAAGATGCCTTCATGGTGTGGCTGTCACCAGAACTGCTCCACAGGAAACAAACCCACCCTATTAATGGCTGTAAATTTAATTTATTTTTTTCGCAAGTACCAGTGTTATAAGCTGTGTAACTAAGCCCTTACTTTTAAGATTCCAACAACACACTGAAATGTAATAGTTAAAAAAAAAAAAACAAACTAAAAAAAATTAAGTGGCTTTTGAAACCTATAAACTACCACCAGAAAAACATCTGACATCGATTCTAGTCCTCCAGTACCCACTACCTGGCTGCAACACAGTTAATGTACGTGTACAGTATGAAGTTTAAGCAAGCATACACGTGCATAGCGCTATTTAGAGACAGAGCTGAACCAAGTAGTTTCAAATAGTATCCTGAAAAACATCCTAAATACTTTTTTTTTTTAGTGGGAAGGAAGAGCAGGAATAAGGAGGAGAATTAAATAGCTAGATTTCCTTAGTACTGGGTATATGGAGATTTCCGTAGTTGTATAACAAAATTACTCCCAACAGAAATAGCAAGGGTCTGTTAATACATTTGGTTAAAGCATATTTAATTTATGCTTATTCCGAAGCCTCCTAAGTATCCCTCAGGGGTTACATAACCTGCTGCTAGCCTGCAGTTCTAACCGCCCCGTGCAGGTGGCTGCCAAATTTATTTTAAAACATTCTCCGAACAACTCATCTTTCAAGCCCAAACATGCAGTGCAACGTCACCCAGGCATCAGCGGAAACAGCACGCGCAGCACTTTCACCATAGATCAGGAAACGTTCCAGCCACTCTACCTTCTGATGACTTGTGACTTCGTCCCTGCTCCTGCCCAGCTCCTCGGCAAGTTTCACGTTCTCCTCTTGCAAAGCCGCGAGCTGCTGGGACTTCTGAGCTGCTGCCAGCTTCAGCGCTTCGCTGCGAGGACAGAGAGTGCATCGTTACCATAGGAACGAGAGAGGCAAGAAAAAACTGTGGGAGAGATTCAGCTTCACAGCTTGGAAAAATACATCTAGGTCACGTGTCTAATGGGATCTATAATAAAGGTGACAACCTATACCTCCGATGCGCAGGGATAGGCTTAACCCTGAAAAGCAGTGGCAGCACAAAACTGTTTTTCCTTTAAATATATCATATACTCAAAGAAATGGAAGGTAAGTTCAGCCTGCTAGTTCTGCATGCCTCCAGTGGTCAGCAAATGCTTGGATTTTTGGTTGGTGAGGTTTATAGCCTAGACTGTCTCAGAAGTGAACTTTGTAGCCAGAGGTAAAACATGAAAATTGTTCAATAATAATAATAAAAAAAGGGTGGGTGAGGCAAGAAAAGTTAAAAAAAAGAAAAAAGCTTACAGTTCCACTTATTTAAATACTCCCTACAAGGTCTGACATCCAAACATACAAGAATGTGCAAGATCACAGGAGGCAGCACAGAAAAGTATCTAATCTGTTCCATTATTTTAACAGATACAAAACTGGCAACAAGACAAAACAAAAGCTGAAGAAAAAAAATGGATTTGCCGGTTCCATTAGCCTACATTGCTACTAATATGTGTGGTTTCCTTAAAGTAAGTTTATTTTAAATGAATTTTTGAAAAAATATTTTGCATGCCCGCCTGGAACACAAGTTTTTATAAGATTTGATGCCTTTCAAAACATAGAAAACCTATACGCTTCATTTCATTAAACAATTTTTATAACTGTGTTCTGTTTTCATAAAAAGGAGTCTCAGTACTCCTATGTGCCAATAATACAGAGTTAAACCCTGACTGGAATATTAAAAATACTTGGGAGTATAGAAGAACCGTTAAGGCAGAAACTTAAGCACTTCAAAACACAAGGACTCTATGGTCTGTTACTGGGCACATTCAAACAAAAGGAAGCCTGATTTACTTTGAGTTCAGCATGCAATATGACTAAGATTTCCCAACCATTTCTTCTATCTGGTCTCACCTTGACCAGGTTCCAATCCAATCTACCCAGACTGGGTTAAACAGGCCAGCGCACATCACTGAACATCGATTCAAATTATCTTGGTACAGATCTACTTGCTGATGCAGGAACATACCTATTTTTAACCACGATTGTTTGCTGAACTGCAGTACTAACCAGTTCTCCTCTTTTTGCTTTTGGCATTAAAGCATAGATCCACGGCATTGTAACAAAAGCACACAAAATACTGGGGTCAATTTGTGTGAAATGCTTCCCTGTGTTTAGTGCCAAGGAACTTTCAATTGATAGCTGCAAGTGCACTTGACAGTATGGAGTAGTAACTGAACACACAACATCCATCCAGCCAGCATCTGTTCATCCTAGTTTTACACGGAAGGTTCTTTTACAAAGGACACCCATGCCACTAACATCCTCCTGCCTCCAACGGTGCTGCTCTGTAGGCAGCAGCACGTCCCTACCTACAGCCACAGCTTCTGTGGGCAGAATTTCCCCTTTATTCTCCTTCGCAAGGCAAGGGCGCTGCCTTCATCAACTGACCTCTCAAACGTGTTCTCTCTACCCACACTACTGCTGATCAAGAAATGCCTATTATCAAGCTAATTCCTTACTCTAATTGAAACAAGGCAACACACAAAATAAATTACGACAACAAGGATCAATTAAAAACAACCAGACAAGCTTCCACTCATCCACAATGTCTCATACTGCTGATGATTAGAGACCACATTCAGCAATAGTCTATGACTAAGGTTAACCTTAAGAAAAAAAAAATAAATTAAAAAACCCCACAGAGTGATCAGGATCATGAGAACACCTTTCAGTGCTGAAGATTTTCAAGGAAATATCTTCTGTAAATAACTTAATAAATAAATACTGCTTAATAAATTACAGTCTAAGATATTTTGTCTTTCCATGATACCAGAGTCTGCCAGCCCCTTGCAGTTCAAGCATTAGAGCAACTAGTCTGGAAATAATTCCTTTGCTTTGGCATTTCCCACGAGCACTGAGGCAGGCAGGAATTGCTCACGGAATGAAATCCTGCCTTTCTCAACTGAGCTTGCTGTCTGTACAAGCACGCAGGTTTTTAAAAGCAAGCAGTAAAATCTTTCAGTCATACAGAAAGTTAGTATTAATTCTTCATGCTGATTTCCTTTGTGTCCTGTCTTCACCTCAGAGCAGTGGTTAAGAACTGTCACAAGATGACTTATGGAACTAACAATAATAATAATTAGCCAAAGCGGCTCTTAGCTATCAGTCCAGATTCCAGCTCTCCCCATGAGTCAAGAAATTCTTCTTGGAGTACAGGTGGGAACAGAGATTTGTGATTTAATTCATTACATCTCTGAAACTTGGGGGACATGCAGCTACTGCAGGGTAGCAGTAACTAGGCTGGATTTTTATTCACTGTGGCACACCAAAGGCTTTGATACAATGAAATTCCACAGGGCAAATTACTTTATATCAGATGCTTTGCAGTTAATTTGTTTGTATATAATGTTACACACCCTTAGTTTGTAGTACATAAGAGGTCGTTTCTCAAATGAAGAATCTCAAATGACAAGCAATTAACTCTAGTTTTACATACTATAGATGGCATTTGTATTGTACCAGTTAGAAAATAAGTGCATAGTGGGGAATCAGGAATAAACAGGATAAAGCCATCAATGAAAAATAAAAGCAGAACCAGATTTTCTATAAACAAAGCCACTTAAAACTACTTAATACTCCAAGTGCACTTGTAATTAAATTCAAACAGAATTTCTTTATAATAAAGCTTTTAAAATAATCTAGTGCCCTCAGGTGGCAGAACTCTATACTTCCTCCAACAAACAAATTTCAAACAATGCTTGGAGTGAAGGATTTGCTTCAATACCTTTCAGCAATCAGGAGCAACATTCTGATTTCCACTTTTATACATGTCAAACTAATATTTAATTTTGACCTAATATCTGCTTTATAAGCGAGGATACTGGAGACGTACTGAAAGACAATTTTTCAAAAATATGAAAGGTAAATGTAAATACAAAGGAATCGTTTAACAGGTTTAACACTGAAATACTTACAATTCTTTTCTAAGTTCTTCCACTTTCTTGTTCTCCAGATTTAGAAGCTCCTTCGATTTATTAAGTTCCTCTTCATTTTTCAGGTTATTTTGTTTAAGCATGTCCAACTTAAAGAGGAAAAAAAACCCCTCATTACACTAATAAAACTATAGAGTTCTTAGGTGTAGCAAGCACTCAGAAAAGATATTCAGCAAAATGGGGGCCTGAGCTGAGCTGTTGCACTTTTTCATCTTTAGCCTTCAAATTAATTCAGTCTGTCGGTACTGAGAAGCATTTGACTAACAGAAAATGTTATGAGACCTTCTGCTTTCAAGTCGAGCAGCACAAAGAATCCATTGAAAAGCAGTTTACAGTAACCTGATGTATATACCCTGACATAAAAGGTAAAGCTCCAAAGCATCTCCATTCTACTACATTCTACAACTCAAAGCACTTTTTTAAAAAAAAAAAAATAAACATTTGTTGCTAAAATTAGCTGTTCCCTTGATCTCTATTCCTTTAAGATAACTGATAAAAAGTTTTGCTTTACCATACCTTAATTTCTGAGAAACGGTAGGCTCAATGTTGTGCTTGCAACCATGAGAAATTAATTCCTTTCAGAGATGTTGTTGCATGGGACAAAGTGGTGTATATCTATTTACTGAGCTTGCATCTACCACGTAAACAGCACAGGCTTGCAAACCTTATTTGTTCGCATTCAGCGACACATTATATTATATAACAGATAATCTTCAGCCATTCTCATGGCATTACAGGACTCTCTGGATTTTACTTTTTTTAATCCAGAAAGTGAACCCCTGCCATTATTAACGTCACCGCATTTAATTCTCGAGTCAATCAGATCTCGTTGGAAATCATTACTGTTTCAGCACAAGCTGTGGCATTTAGGTTAGCCCAGCTGTTCACTACCCATTATTACCGGAGCTGCAATAGATGAGAGAGGCATCAAAAAGAGGCCACAAGGTGCTCAAGATCTGCAGAAAAGATGCCAGTTCAATGTTAGACTAGGTACTCTGGGGCAAAGGAGCGTGAAAGAAATTAGTGAGGACATTCTTCAAACCCCAGAGTATCACAAAGTGGTGGGAGGCCGTAGACTGAAAACGGGTCTCTAGCGGAACTGCTGTACATGTTGGGGCCATTGTGCTCATGTGGTTGTACAGTGCGTCGCTCAGTACAATTTGTACCTTGTCAGACCACAATTCTGATAAACAGAAAAGTGAAAAAATGAAGAAATGATAACATTACACATGTGAAGATCACAAAGAGGATGTACAGAGCAAAGAGTGCATTAGAGGTGAGAAACAGAGCGATAACTTTTGTGGATTAGAAGCACTGTTACTCAGAGCTCTGCAGCACTTCATCGGAGCGTGAATTTGCACCCCACACTTACACCCAGGGAACCGAAGCACAGAGTGGTCTCATCTAAGCAATTTATCCAAAGCGAGACTGATTAAGCCTCGAGTCAAACCCATGCCTCTTGATTCTGTGATCTGCAAAAGCTGCTGTGGCATCCCAAACTCCTATTACATAAGAGAATTTCTTTTGTGGCTGCACCAAGATTTAAGGGACATGACCTTATACGCTGTACAGTATTTGAAACCACATGCAAAACACAAAAGAGCATAGGTCACACGGCTATATAAAGCACCTAGAGTTGCCAACAACATGCACTCGTCTGGTAAGTTTTCACAAGCCAGTCAAGACTGAGTATTGTGTTGGGAAAATGACAGAATCCACTCTTGCCTAAGCTGATTCTCTGTTATTCAATAGTTGTTCCTTACCAACTAAACAAAACTTTTCATATAAAAGCATTTAAATGTGATTACTTCATTCTGTAGCTTCTCGTTTGTCTGTCTAGAGTTCTCCAAAGAGGCCAAAGTTTCAATCTTTTCTTTGTGAATGGCATCCTTCTCTTTGGTCACCTTCTCCACAGTCTGGAAAACATCTTCTGCCATTTTGGCAGCCTAAACATAAAGGGGGGTGGGGGAAAAGAAATATTACCAAAGGGACATCAGAAAGCAAAAGGTGAACCACAATACTTTATGCACAGCTCCATGGTTTGCCAGCTGCTTTCCAATTTAATAAGGACTTCAACTGGGATTTTATTTGCATTTTGAAGCTGCATAAAGTATAAAAATAAATGGACATGAGAAGATTCAATTCCATGCAGAAATAGATCATAACCCCATGCTTGTGTTACCACCAAGGAAGCCCGTTTCTTCTTTCATAATTCTGGATTTCTAATTACCACCACTGTGATTGCTCTTAGACTTCTAACCACTTTAGACAGTAGTAGTTCAACAGATATTCACTTCCAACAGACGGCTCTATTTTCAGAAAGTGAGTAATTATAAAAAGTTGTTAAAAAAATTGAAAAAGAATTAAAAATTACGAAGGAGATAAAGCCAATTATTGCATTATTTCAGTGTTGTTCATTATGCCCTCATAAAAGGAAACACTTCACAAGAATATTGAAATACCTAGGTAGGCATAATACATTCCTATAGGATATTTTGATTCCAATTTGTATTCAAAGTGATTTAATGGGCTTCAAGCCACACAAACTGAAATTCAAAATACTTTACAGAATTTGTTGGTAGTGAATACCAAATACTTCTGTGAATAAAAAGAACAGCAGAATTGTCAATGTCCTTAACAGACTGAAAATCCTATAATGTAAATTTAAATGGTTCTCTTACACTGCTTTTTATCCAATTACATTACAGGAGGAGTATGTTTTTGGTTTTGGGGTTGGTTTTTTTTTTTTTTTGGAGTAATTCAATTTTGTATTTTGTTGCAATTTAACATAAAATTGCACAAAGATCCAATCTAAACCCACATCTATTACTACTCTAGCTTTTAAGCTGCAGAGTACTTCAACAGAAGGAGCTGCTCAATTTCTCCTACCAGATGCAGGAAATAAAACTTCCTTTTATTCACAGTTTACATTGTTTTCTTGCAACATTCAGCGACAACATAGGCTTTAATATTTAGAAATATTTTTTTAAAAATATTAAAAGTGTCTTTCAGACTCACAGTTACAACTTGAAAAGAAACCCAAAGTAATATATCGAGAGAGACCATAATTCCAGCCTGTTTATACTGAGATGAAGTGCTGATTGTGCAATGAAGTGCAGAGAGGAAACCATTGGGTTAGTGCTCAGTATTAGTATAACCGTACTTGGTTGTTCAACTATGTGTTTCAATACCTCCGTTTTTTGCGCTACTGTTTGGGCCTGGAGAGCCTCAATTTCTTTTAGTTTCAAAGCCAGATTGTTCATCTCCTCCTGCAGCATCTGATTTTTGCCCTGAGAGACCAGTAATTTGCCTGAGAGGTCACTATTAATTTGTTCCAAAAGTGCTACTTCCTCCTGCAGTTTACAATAATCCTCGGAGAATTTCTCCTTCTCTTTTAGTATTTCTTCCTTAACGATGACCAGGCTCTTCTGTTCAGCAAGCAGGCTGTCATTTTCCTGAAGTAACTGCATTCTCTCCTTCTCCATCACCTCATGCCGGCGTTGAAGATCATCTAGGCTCTCGGAGACACGGCTGTGCGAGTCCTGGAGCTCTGCTTTTGATTTCCACAAGGAAGCAAAGTCACTTTTCAGTCGTTCGATACTGAAAGCAAGCTGCTCTGTCTCTGCACAGAGGGTTTCTTTTTCTTTAACTATTTCCACCAGTTTAGTGTCAGATTTTTCTTTCTCCTGAACTAAAAGTTCTTTCTCAGTCATAAATTCTTTATTTTTCTCTCTCAGCTCTTCTATCTCCTTCTCCAAGAAGCTGACGTTGCTTTGAAGTTCCACACGTTCCAGCAAAAATGACTCCTTGTCCAGTTTTCTAGCTTCCTTTTCTATGGTTAAGTTTTCTTTCACAATTGCAACCTCTCCGTTTAATTTCTGACACTTATCTTGCAATTCAGCCCTCTCTCTGGTCAGCATTTCCCTATCAGAGGAACAGGTCTCCAATGAAGATGACAGGACCTGCTGGGCATGTGATAGAGCAGACAGTTCATTTTCTAGTGTTCTTTTGGCATCCTGGGCCTCTTTCAGAAGACCTGAAAGGTCACATTTACAGGCTGTTAGCTCTTGATTTTCTAGAGTCTTCTTACGTAGTTCTTCCTGAAGGGCTTCAATGGAATCTTGGAGCATGGTATTCTTTTGGGCCAGAGCTCTGTTGGCTGAAACATCCAGCTCATGTTCTCTCTTCATATCAGAAATTACATTTGCAGAAGACTTGTTTTCATCAAGAAGCTCTGAGTATTTGTTCTCCAATTCATTCTTCTCTTGAAGAAGAGCTTCATTGTGCTTTTCCAATTGCAATGACTTATGAAAAACAGATTCCTTCTCTAAGTTCAGTTCATTTATTTTCTCAGTAAAGACTTTCTCAGCAAGTATGGCATCTGCTGTGGCTTTAGCAAGCTTTTCAGCAATTGCCTTATTTTCATTTAAAAGTTCCTCCCTTTCAGCCAAAAGCCTTTGTTCTGATGCAGAAAGAGCCTTTTTCTCTTGAAGTAACTGAATACATTCAGAATTGGATCTCTCTCTTGAGGCTTTAACTTCCTCAAGAAGACGAGAGAGATTAGCAAGGGAATCCTTCAACTCCATATTGTCTTTCATCGCTTTTTTAAGTTCTTTATGTTCAGTCTCGAGTTCTGTTTGCATCTCTTCTGTTCTCATTTTTAATGCTTGGTTTTCACTGACTGTATTGTCTAAACTCACATGCAGCTCTTCTATGCTTTTAAGGAGCATCTCCTTCTCGGAGTGCAGACTCTGACTTGTCTCTAACAGACTGTCCCTTTCATTTTTTAAGGCTGTATATGTATTTTTAAGATCTGAGTGTTTACCTAGGGCTGAATCTCTCTCTGCAGTCAGAGCTGACACTTCTTGCAGTAGCTCTCTCTGATGTCTGGCCAGGGCCTCACAAGAACTTTCCAGCTTCTGAATAGTATCGTCTTTGTCTTTAACAACTGCATCTTTCTCTTCCAAAAGTTTCTTCTGATAATTGTCCAGTTCTTCCCATTCCTTGGTATGTTTCTGACATACCACATCCATGGCATCTTTCTTGGCCTGAAGTTCTTTCAACTGTTGGAGCAAGGTTGACTCTGAAGACCGGAGAGCATCATTTTCTTGAGTTATCTTCAGAAGGTTTGCCTGTACTGTCTCTATTTCAGAGAGGAATTTGCTTTTCTCAGACATTAGCGCTACTTTTTCTGTGCTTTCCTGCTGGCTTTTGGCCTCAGCTTCTTCCTTCTGCTTTAGAATTTTTTTATTTTCTGAATTAAGTTCTTCATTTATTGTCAAAAGTTCTTCTCGGTCTTGTTGCATTAATGAAATCTTGGATTCCAATTCTAGAAGTTTTGATAACAAGGAACCTCGCTCTAATTTTAAAGTATTCCCCTCCTGTGCCAAAGTCTCTTTTTCTGATATCAAACCCCTCATCTTGTCTGACATTAGTTCAATCTCTTTTCTGGCTGAGGCTAACACAGAGCTTAAGGACTAAAGTCAGGGAGAAGGGAAAACAAAAATGAAATCAAGCAGACAAATGAGAAATGTGGTTTAAGGGCAAATAGAGCTACTGTATTTTAAGTTTTAAAAAAGTGTATACACTGACACACAGTCCCTGCGCAAACTGAACTGTCGACTGCCACCCCTGATATTTCATTACAAAACACCCACCATCCACAAGACAACTTTTCAGTAATTAAATAGTAATCATAATCTTAAAAAAGCATGGTTTGAAGGTTCCTCCATACAAGAATTTAAATTGTTTTGAAACTATTCTCAACAAATTTTCTGAATGTAAATTACTCAGGAAGTAGAGCCCACAGCATGATTTCATGAGAATCTAAGTGAATTAAAATAAAGGGAGTTATATTAGATACTGACTTCCAGTTCTCAAATTCACCTTCTATAGATAATTCTCCTCATGATTATGTTCAAAACATATTGTCATAACCCATTTAATTCAAAACACCACATCAGCAGTGTATTTAAAGTTAATTTGTGTGCCAATTTATACACTAAATATTTTGCTAAAGCAGAAAACAAAGATTATAGCAAATAACTAATGAGGGATGAAAGCAAGCAGTAATGTCAAAGAAACAGGAGAAAAAATAAAAATTACTAAAATCAAGCTACACACTAAATAGTTGCACATAATATTGGGTTATCCTACAGAACAAAATTTCAGGTGTATAACACTTTTAAATGAAAGAGTTCACAACGTATTTTAAAATTCATTAATTTAAAACACAGAATAACATTTGGCTCCAACTGATTGTACTGAGCCAGATATCTATGAACATAAAGTGTTAACATCAAAGAACTGTATTCCGCAGATTCTTGTGTAATTTAGAGAAGACAACCAGTTAGTCCTGTATGCTTCTCTTCCCTAACTAATATTAATCTACCCTGGAAAAGTTCAAAAAAGAAACACTGCAAAAATATTACTCTGAAATGGTGAAGCCCGGCAAAAAACGGCGACTCACTGAAACAGAACGATTTAAACTTGAAATTACTTGCAGAGTAACAAAGTATACATACTTTGGCCTGTTCTGCTTGCTTTTTCAGCTCCTCAGCCTGAGTTTCTAACTCATTATTTTTCTTTTGTGCAACTTTCAGCGCCTCTTCTGCATCCAGCAAGTTCTGCTTAAACCCTTTCATATCTGCATCGTGCTTAGTGATCATGTCAGAAGTTTCTTTTTCATGCTTTGCTTGAAGATCCTTATACTGATTTTGGCTGGTCTCAATTTGCTTTTTCTGATAGAAGAGAAAAGAATTGGAACACAGTTAAAGAAGCAGTGGTACAATATTCTGCACATAGTTAACTAGTGCTTTTCAAAGTTCTTCTTACCATGTCCGTTAGTTGATCCTGCATATTTTTCAGTTCTGCTTGATGAATCTTGAGAGTTTCTTGCTGACTCTGCTCAGCTTTCTGTGTTGTCTGCTCCACATCTTTCTGAAGCTGAACAGCCTTTTCATTTGCTTTTGTAAGCTCAAGTTGTATTTGCTCCAACTGCCTAGAAAGACCAAATAAAAGAACATTACTTTTTGCTGACAGCACGACAAGCACTGAGATGAAAGAGTCTAAATTATGCTGAAGTTCTATATTCTGTCCAAGCATTTAGAAAGAGATTTAATTATTTAACATATAGAGAATGTTCTGCTAAATTAAAAATACAGAAGTGAGACCGAGCACTTGCTCGTGTGCAGAGCAACACAGCTGCCAGTTACTTTGCCCCCTCCGGGGTTTTGTAAAGGTAAAGAACAACTATTCTACATACAATTTTTACTTGAAACAGAACGCATTTTCTCTTGCTAGACAAAAATGTGACCCAAGTCTTTTATGTATCCAAATAAACCAAGCTTATCAGGTAATTAAATAATTATGAACCACAATCACAAAACAGTCTAGATTATTAAAAAGGTCGTTTACTCTGGGCAATGAGAAGCACATTACATAAGAATTTTAGAATTATAAATGTTAGATGCTCTTCAAATCACTCAGAGGAGACTGTTTTGATTAATTTAGTTTGATAGAATAAGTTCACTTGTCATATCAATGTGACACTCAGGAGCATCTTCTTCAGATATTTACAAAAAGATAAAATGAGAAGTGCTGGGAGTGCAGGAGTAAAGAATTAATGTGAAAACGTTCTGACAATGATGGAATACCTTTCTTTTAACCGGAGCTCATCATTCATTTTCGTAAGCTGGGCAGAGCTGTCTCCTGAAGACTTCATGATCTCTGCAATATCATTTTCAAGTTTGGCTTTAGCTTCAATCAGTTGCTGTTCTCTCTCTTCTCGCTCCTTCAATTTCTTCTCCATCACTGAGCAAGACAAAGGTTAGCAGTCCAGTAAATTTAAGAGACAAGGTATCCACAGACTAGCTAGAAGATAGTAAAGGACTAGAAGCAGAGAAATATTGATGCCACAGAGCTTGCAAATGACCCCTTTAAAATGAAAAATTACAATTGTTTGATTTTGGAACTGTTAACTGTAGCAGAAGGTGGAGAACTCTTCACAAATAGTAAAAAAGCAACTAGTCAAGAAATCCTTCTTGCAGAAGTGATACACTTAACTTCAGGCCATGAGAAGCTGATACGAGTTCTACCCATATCAGAGGGTAATCGAGCAGTATAGTAAGAGAGGTATGCACATCTTGCAGGCGAGACAACTCAGCAGCAGAAGACGAACAATGCAAGCAACATAAAGCTACAGTGAAAAAATGACTCAGCCCAGGCCAGACACTGCCACCAAGGGCAAGAGCAGCCCTTGGGATGGCTTCTACAGCCCCAACGATGCCTTGAAAGGCTTGCTTACAGGGTACATAATGAGTCTTAATTTCTTTCTACGTTGGTTTTAAATTGAGATGTACAATTAGAAAGATACAGCAAGGGTCCCTCCTATGAGATGGGAAGAAGCAGACAACCAGACTAACGGAGAGTCTTTTTGATGTCCTTAAAAAGAAAATACTACTTAGGGACAAGGCTTCCATGAACTACCTCCCTTACATTTGTAACGCTTCAGTCTGGTCCCCAAGCCTTTGTTTGCTATCTCACCATTACCACAGCATGATTTCGTTGCAATGTCAAGCAAGATTTTAGCTATTGATTTGGAATACACTCAACCAGAAAATCTTCTGCCTTACGGCGCTATTTCCTTAACACCATGGTCACCTTCCTGTGTCACTATACACAGTGCCACAAAAGCCATTTTCTGCCTAGAGAAGGTGGCTTTCTTTTGAAGCCATATGCGTTTGTGAAAGCACTACGTACTACGATGTGGCGAGCTGAGCAGGAGGCATATGAAAGCACAAAGCTGATGCATGTTTCAAAACATTCCATTTTATTACTTCCTTACCAGTCAAACTAGACTTCAGCTGTTCCAGTTCTGAAGACATGAGTGCAAACTGCTCTTCTTTTTGGTTTAGTTTTTTTATTGTTTCTATGCAAGTAAAATTTTGAAAACAAAGTTAGTAACTACTTAGATGCAGATAATTCCACCTACTTGCAAGGTATATTACTCTTAAGAAGACAAGCTGCAAGTAATCCTGTCCTTTCCACAGCTGCCAAAACTGTCGTACCACCAGATGTAAATTTGAAAGCACATGGAAGAAAAACCCTTTATTTTGCATTTATTTTCTGCAGCTTTTTAGTTCTTTGTTTAGTTTAGCAGTAGACATACCTTGCATAGTTTGTTGAACGTTTTCTGCTTCATCAGCTGCACTAGTAAACTTTTCTTTCTGAAAAATGGATGAAAACCTGAGGTAAGGTTTGGTAACAGCAGTAGAATTCAACCACTGAATTTATATTAGGTATTTTTCAAGTACAAAATAGAACAGTCGTCACTCCTATCATAAATAGATCTGAAGTTTTTGAATTACAGTTTAGCATAGATATATTCAGCAACATAAAGCAAGATTTTCCTTTGCCTTGGATGCAAGCAAGTCCCTAAACATAATCCAAAATAACTTCTCCGTCAGGTAGCACAGCAACAGAACTGCAGCCACAGAGTCCAGCGCAGGAGACGGGATTTCTGGCTCTCACTGCAAGCAGCTATGCATGCTGCTCATAGGCTGCGTAGTGCACACCTGCAACCCTGTGATCAATCTCATACCAATTTTTTTTCCAGCTTTACCAGCAGGAGTTGATGCTAGACTGGGAAGAAAAGGGAGGATACTGAGCAATATATAAGAAACAAGACTCTCTTCCACCAACTTCAAATATTTACTATGGCCATGGAAAGATTTTACGACAGGGACAGTAAACCCTAAAAGTATGTCTTTTTATTAATCACTCTGGTGTAGTTTCTCAAGAAAATCCAACCCATCTACAGAATACTTGCAAATTTAATTAAATTTGCAAAATAAGAAATCAGATGAAAAATGTCTTCAGAAACCATTTGTATAGCAAGCATTAATTTGTACAACCGTTATAATATAGGGCCACGTGTTCCCTCTAATGAGTAGTCTAAATTTAAACTACATGCTGCTTTTTATTTGGTTTAATATTTTAAATGAAATCCATAAACAGCTGAGTTCTACTTAGACATAACACCAAGACAGAACGCCAGTGAAATGTTCTTTTTATTCTGAGACAGATCCTACTGGTCATGAACCCTTGCCTTCTTTTCATGAGTAAAATAGCTTTGAAAGACTTTGCTCAGAGCTGATCCAGATTTCAGTTACAGTCTCACCATGAAAACCAAAATCCAAAGGATAAAGTCAAAATTTTTGGGTATTACTCACCAAAACTTGAAGTTCCTTTTCCAAAGAATCTTTAACTTGATTTACTGCACTCAAGTTTTTCTCAAGGTCAAGAAGCTTTTGCTCTTTGCCCTGCAGTTCTTTGGCCAGATTACTAGCCTAACAAGGATGATGAAATGGAGTAAAATAAAATTACAAACATGAATGAAAAATTAGGAAAATTAAAAATTGAGTCTGAAAGAAATAACTGTAATATTAAAATCACTGTAAGATGAAAAAAAAACAACTGAAGAAAAATATGTGATGTGTTAACTGAGTGAAGCTGATTTGCACTGATGACTACATACATCACAGTACTAATTGCACCTTGGAATATATTTGAAGTCATTAAAATTTAGTTCTCTTGGAATTAATGGTAAAAACATTATTTAATAGCAGACATTTTTGAGTACATTCAAAATTTCAAAACAAAGTTACAGCATCAGTTGAATCCATCGTCTTTGTTCGTTATTGTCCGATTTTTTTAACTGATCAATTTAGCATTTATGCTTCAACTGATGATTCAGACCAATACACATATGGAGATGTAATTTTTCAAAAGTCTACCACACCCAGGGGTAGTGCAGAAACCCAGTGTGACCTCAAAAAATAGAGTCAAAGGTCCATAGCGATCTAGCATCTTGGCACCATCTGTGAAGGGTTATGAAAGCCATTTCCAGTTACTTCCCCATGACACTCACAATTAGAGCTCTAACTTGTCAAGTCATGGATATATTGGGGATGTGGGGGGAACCCCTAAAATGAAATGGTATCTTAGCACTTTTATTCCTAGCTGCAGTGGTGGGACAACTTTCAAGTGCTGAATGCCACGCTATCAACTTTAAAGAGACATTTCATCCAAACCCAAGAAAAATCTTGGTAAGAAGTATCACGTTGCAGTTTGTGCTTCAAAAGTGCCGTGAAACAGCACCCAACAACATCACTGCATACCCCTGTCTTAAAGAAAAGTTCCACCTGGCTCTTTATTGCTTTCTTTTGTTTTTAATAGCCTCTTCCATCACCTTGTTTGATGAGAGGCAAAGCAGTGAAGGTACAGAGGAAACATTTCCACACTGAGCCCCAAGTCACTTTATCTGAACACCTCTATCACCAAAGGTTAAAAACTTAAGATGTGTGGATTCTTCTCCCAGCTTTTCCATAACACGAAGCCTTCGGCAGAGGCATGCCGAAGCCTGCAGCAAGAAAGTACAGAAAGAATTTTTTTCTTTTGCTTAGTGGTACGGACCGAGCACTAGAAACCTGTTGGGACATGACCCAGTTAACACTTTCTCTAAACCTCCTCAGATGGTACTAAGATATACATTCAATAAAACCATTTTTTTTCCTGTGATGTATTCGCTATAGCAGATTAGAGCAGTACAAATGTAAAATAAAAGCAAAGGAAAAATAAAAGGATGGATGTTGATACAAACCTTGCTATTTCCATCAACCTTTTCAGTCTCTAAATTCTGAATTTGTTTCTCAGCTGCCTCAAGCTGCTTGCTAAGGTTCTCGATTTCCAATTTACCTTCAGAATTGGCTTTCTGAAGTGCAGCAAGGTCCAAAAGCTTTTCTTCAGCAGCTTTGATCTGTGGTGTAAGACTATCAATAACTTTGGTTTGTTCATTGTACTTGGCTTGCAGTACCTCTAGCTCCTTTACCTTTATTTCAGCTTCCTGTAATTTGTTTAAAGTGTCTTCCATTTCTACTAGATGCTGATCTTCCACACTTTCCAGTTTGGTCTTCAGGCTTTCCAGGTGTTGCTCTTTCTCCTCTGTGACTGCCAACAGTTTTGCTTTCAGTGATTCAATCTCTTTTAAATGATGAGCTTTTTCATTTTCATGCTTCAGTTTTAAGTTTGACATTTCAGTTTCATAGTCTAATTTAATCTTCTCAATCTGAGTCTTTAACTCTGCAAATTCTGCTGTCTGAGCCCCTACACCTTTGCTGAAAGAAACTTTTAGTTCTTCCATTGCCTGCTGATGGGAGGCAATTGCAGATTCCAGCTTCGATTTCCAGAGCTCGATTACATCTGAATTCTCCTTGTTGGCATGATCAAGCTTAGTTTTCAAGGACTCATTTTCTTTTGCCATTCTCTCATTTGAAGCTGAAAGCGATTTGATCTCTTTCTGCAATGCTTCTTCACTAATACCAAACTTCTCTTTCAGTGAATTCATCTCATTCTGATGTTCTTTGCTAACTGCTGCCATTCTTTCTTGCAAAGAACTTATTTCTTGTAATAACGAAAGAGAAGTATCCACATCATCAATATGTTTACTAGACTCTAATCTCCCTCGAAGCTCAGCTACTTCCTTCACCCGCAATGCTAGATCTCTTTCTAGTTCCATGATGCGAGATTTTTCTGATACCGTGGCCACCTATGATTAACAGCAGTTTAAGAAAAGAAGAAAGAATTATAAAAGATATGTTTAATACAAAGACACTGAGGCCTCACTGAAAAGAAACCACCGAAAATGTTGCAAACTAATATCGTTAGTGTATTCTTACCAGGATTTTGGATTAGAATACCTGTGAGTTTCTTTGTCTTCCTATTTCTATGGAAATTCTAAAGAAACCTTAAGTAAAAGCAAATGCTGCTTTTACATAGAAGGCTGTGAAACGAGACCAACTGTTGTTTCACTGATGTGTGAGTTATTGCTTTAAAAAAGGAAAAATGTCCACATCTTTGCATTATATATGTATTATATTCTCTCTAAAGGTGGAATTTAGTTAAGTTCATTTTTCTGAAGTTATCTAGAAATAACATCTTGCTAAACAACTTACAAACTATGTTTATGTATATTATCAATGCTTAACAAAATGTTTCTCAGAACCATTTTAAAGCCAACTGGAAAAAGACCGGAGAACCCTGCGGTCTTTATTGGTTGAAATAATTGCTTCCAAATTAATCTCATGCCAGCTATGACTGTCAGAGAAAAATACAAATACGTTTTTAGCCTACAAATCCTTTGAAACTCCTTCTATATCCACTTCATTGTTCTCTCTGAAAAAGTGTCCTCACGTTATCTGAGCATTTCACCGACTGTTGAAGCAGGTTGTGGTGTGGAAAAGCATACAAAGCTACCTCAATTATTTCTCATTAGGAAGCCATGTTTCAACCTCCTTATTATACCAACATCCTGAAAATGATATTACTTACCTGCGACTGCTCTTTAAAAGTACTTGCTATAGAGTACATTCTTGGTTTTACAATGTTCATCCTACCTCAACTTCAAGAAAAGCTACACGTGTGAGCATGAAAATATAGATATCTCTCCTTCTCTCCTTAAGAATTGACATCTGCTGAACGTGGGACAAAGCATGTCCAGTAATATCTTAACAGGCAATGCTATTACTAATGCTACTGGGATATCCATGAAAAGACTATGTCATGGGTGGGGAAAAAAAGAACTAAAACGCCACTGTTAATCACAATTTAGCAAAGCAAGTAGCACAACAACTATTTAAGACCTCAGAAACCAAGCCCCAAATACTAAGTTTGTGTTCAAAGCGCTGGCATAGTCAATCTTACTTTTTTTTGCGTTTAATGAACTTTGCTACTTCTAAAATGAACCACTGAACATTCCTTTATGTCAATTCACGGTCCCATTTGCTATTTTTTAATTGGATTCAAGTGTTAATTTTGCAGTTTTAAGACATCTTACCTGAATCCTTCTGAAGAAATGAGTATACGTATACAGGCATACACACACACAACACTGAAGCTCAAAATTAATGCTAATTTTTAAAGTGTTCCAGCTATAGCTATAGCAAGTACTGATCATGGCCGGAGCAAGGATCTGTTTCAGCATGTGTTACATCCAGCAGACTGTGTCATCAGAAATCTTCCACAACACAAATCAGTCTTGTTATTTAAATAGCGAAAACCATTACCCTAGTGTCTTCTAACTCCCTCTGGAGTTTGTCAGCTTTGGTCTTTTCAAAGAGCAGGCTCTGTTCAAGCTCCTTAATGCGGGCATGCTCCAGTTTGGTCTGCGTCTGTTAGTAAAAAGGGAAAGGAAGAGAACACAACGGTGCCACCATCACATGCCAGCACAAGAGGAGGGAGCCACATGCAGGCCGTGCTGCCAGAATCTTCTACCAATGATGAGCAGAGAAGATGCGGTGGATAAAATGAACAGGGAAACGCTATGGATGAGAAAGATGGACTGAAAAGTGTAAATGGACTGATGTGTAAAAAACATTAAAAAATGTAAAAAAAAAAGCACAAACAAAGAAATATGAACAAAAAGTTTCATGCAGCCGAGTAGAAGTTATTTATCAGTACATGAAGTTTTCAGCACAAATTAGAATAGTTATGTAAAAAATATATATGTGCATATATATCTATACCTGTTCTAATAGGATGATAGGTCCCTTTCCTTGTCATCCCGCTAACTTTTTTCTTTAATGTATTGGGCTTATTTTATAACTGATTTAGTGATTAACCAGGAGACAAAAATTCACCACTGAAGCTCATGTGACAAATCAAAACTTTTTACCTTTTTTTTTTTTTAATAGTAGCTGTATCTCAAGTCTCAGCCATAAAAATCCTTTTGGCCAAGACCTGAGAACATTAAGGTTAATTTGTCACTATGGCATGAATTATTCCAATAGAAATAGAAAGAGAATAGTTGCCTATAACTTCAGAACCCTCCTAGTTTTCTCCCTCTTCCTTTTTCAGGAAGGAAGAAAGCAACAAGAAAGATTCTCCAAAACCAGGTAAAAAAGCGAATCAGTCTGCTCTATAGTTACTGAAGTCTAAATATATTGCACAAGATGTGGAAGTAAGGAAAAAAAAAAGTAAGATCTTTGTAATTCTAATAGGTTCCTAAAGAGAAGCAGGAAGCAGATGAAACTAAGTGAGCAGGTACCTCCTGCCTTTTGCTTACGAAGACGTAGAAGTTTTAGCAAGAACACAGAATATTGGATATTCTGGCTTGACACCCAGGTACTCCCAGAGGCCAGCAAGAGAGCGTGAAGTTTGAGAGATGCAGGTGAAGTCCAGCAGCTAGTTCAAATGTGACCTGTACCTCTGAAGTGGGGAAAGGAGAGGGGGTGTGTGTGTGTAGAATAAAGAAAAAAGAAATATAAAGAGGTAAGAACTAGGTGCCATACTTATTTCTGAAGTGCCGAGATTCAAGTATTGTGTCAACCTTAACAGGTCGCTGTTAGTTTACATTTAGTAAACAATGCAAATTAAAAGAAGTATGAAAGTCTATTGTTGCTTCACAGTGTCTTCCAAAAAGAGCAGCTTTCCAGGGCTTGCCCGCATTGAGAGTAAGGTGGATATCCAGAAGAAGACTGAATGAAGTTGAAGATGAGCTTACTAACCAAAGAAGTTGCATCCACCAGTCTTGATGAAAGGTCTCCACACTGCTTAACTGCCGCAGTTAATTTACTGGGGAAAAAAGTAACACAGTGACCTCCAAACCCTACGAACTACTGCTAAGAGAAGAGAGTCCTGCAACCTGAACAGCTCCCCACTGAACACCAGATTGAAAGAATCCAAAAAGGCAGGAAGACGCGTGAATAATTCCAAAGCCACGCTGCTGCCAAAGCGTGCGCACAGCTGGCAGGACACTGCTGCTTCTCTGATCTTTGTAACATGATATTTAAAAATCCCTACAGAACTGTGTTATTTATAGAGTGACAAGCTGATTAGTACTGCTTCCAAACCAGCCGCAGCAGTTAAAGATCTTATGTAGCCTCTGCAGAGCAAGTGGGATGGGGATGAGCCTCTTGTTTTGCTTCAGGCCTGTTCTCCTCCAAACACAGTATTCCTTCTGACAGCATCAAGTTATCTTCTTTCCCCAAAGCACGCAGACATCTGGTGGTTTAATTTTTTAAACATTTTTCCAGCTGAAAACAGTTGGCTGTTTTACTATGTAGTTACCAAGTCCAAAATACTAAAATCCACAAAAACTGAAAGTTGCTTCTTAGATTTGTCTCGGTTTTGAAATTCCATAGCACATTTGTTTCTTTATCAATGGAAGATCTTCAGTGCATATGGGGGGAAAAAAAGCCCCCACGAGAACATGGATTACTGTTTCTGCCTCCCACAGCCTTTGCAAATGGAACTAAGTATTGTAAGGGAACTAACAATATTTTGTAAATGGCTCTAATCCAGCCCCTTCTCTGAAACAGGTTACTATTAGTTCTGATCCACAATAAAATTCGAAGTCCAAAGTAATCTATTTTTAAAAATTGAGTAGTCATACCTTCCTTGCTCCAGTTCACCAAAGGGATCTATTAAAAAACCAAGAAACCCCAAACCTGACAGTTGCAGAATTCTCCTTGCACCACTTTGCAAAATATGCTCTCTCAGGTTTTTCTATGCTACATAAAACCCCAAATACTTTGATCATTAATTTCATAGACATTGCTTTACTACTGCAAAGATCAGCTATACCATCACTGATTCCTGTTTTTTTATTTTAAGCCTGTCTCATATATTATAAAGGGAAGTAAATTAAAATCCTACCAAAATGAAATAAAAGATCAAAAAACCCCAAAACTCCAGAGGTCTTTGCCAGACACCTTTTTCCCCCCACTTAGGGGATGAAGCATTATCCTTCAAACACGTCTGATTTCCAAGGGACAGACCCCAGTTTCCCCGAGGTAAAAATCACCGCAAATTTTTTGAATCACTCAGATTTCACTCCTGATCATCTGGAGGGAAATGTCATTTTTGAGGAAACCCAGAGCACAGCTAACTGAGAAAAGCAGAGTACTATTAAAAGGAAGAAAATAATTTGACTGTAAACCATAACTTGGATGGAAAAGAAAAACAGAAAAGAAAAACCAAACAAACAACAAAGGAAGCATCTTCACCTTCTCCAAATCTTCACAGTTAGATTAAGAGTGATAGGGAAATGGGACGAGCCTTACTCTGCCTTGAACCTTAAAAGAATTCCACTCAAATAAACTTCAGAGACCAGTCATCAGCTATTTTCAGCATTTGTGTATTCTATCTACTCTTTCACTTCAAAATAAACCTTACTGTTAAGTTCTCCATCCATAGGTCAAACTGTAAAATTGTGCTGAAGCCATAAATGCTGATAATCAGTTCTAGAATAGGGGCAAGATGACCTTCAGTCCCTTTGTGCTGGGATAACAATCACAGAACACGACTGAGATTATGAAGCATTAGCCTAGAAACTAAGTGATCACCCACTTCTCTCCTTTAGAGAGTGAAGATGTCCATTTTAACGGGAAAATTAGAATAGGGGAATCAGGAGTAAAGATAGGATTAAACAAGGAGTGCACAAAACAAGAGAAAGAAAGGGCACATGCAGATTTACTTCTAACACACCGTGAGCCTGATTGGAAGAATAGAGGAGACCCAGATCGCTGAAGTAGCTTCGCAAAAGGAACACCTAAGAATGCACAGCAGGAAACCAGTTTTAGTCTTAAGAACTTCCTATCTCGGCGGGGGATGCAGCAGAGGAGGCAGCCTGGGGTAAATTTTCCTGAGTCCAATCAAAGAGAGGGCTTTTATATTCCACTGTTCTGAGCTATGGACGCAAGAGGGCTGCTTAAATGTCTTGTTAGGCAATTTCTGTTATCGGTAACATATATTTTTCCTACATAATTCAAAGAGAAGCTACGTGAAGAGAAGCTTTGCACACTGATTTGTCAGATGGTTTTAATCATCTCTCCCCTTAGCATTTCATGCCCAAAAAAGAGAATCAAATACGGGGAGATGGGGAACATACCGATTTTTTTCCTCAGAAGAATTTATCTGCTAATTGCATACTGCATCTATTGAACAGCAGTAGGAGCTCATAGGAAAGCATGCAGGATTTTGTGAAGAAAGCAACTAAAATCCTACATTTAAATGAAAGATGTTTCAAGATCCTGGACAGCAATTTTCTACGAGCTCCTGTACTCTTCAATTAGTTGCAAAGCTTTTGACCCTAAAGAATTCTAATGACACATTTGCCCTCTCTTCAGTTAATGGGGATTACAACGTTTAGTCATTACACACATTCTTCGATAAATGTTGTAATTGCTCTGAAAGCAACATGCACACAAATACTAGAGTCAATGTTTCAATAACAGATTATGCAGTTAGTGAATAAGTATAAGCGCTTTCTGCACACAATCTGTTAACATGGGATGTCTCTGCACATTTAAGTGCCCTCTTACATTTTCTGGGTCTTCCGAAATCTGCCTCTTTCGCTATCAGTAAAATTAAAAAAAACAAACAAACAAAAATATTTCACCTGCAGACTTTGCGCTATCATTCCAACACAAACAACAGGATACATTTCATTATCTTGAATTCAGTTTAAACTCGAAGTGACACAGCTAGGCAAACCAGATTCTTTAAGATGGTTTGCCACAACTATCAACTGATTGAACAAAAAAATAAAAAATTAAAACTTTCCATGGACTAAACAATAAGGGGAGCATTCTATGAAGAGTATAGATAAGTATCTTAAAATGAATGGAAGACTAAAATAAAAGAAATGTTATATGAAATGAATAATTTCCATAATCAGAAATCGTTCACAGGAACACAAGTTAATTAAGTTTGTACTTCATGCTGAGCAAGAAGTTCTAACATTTTTCTGATTAGACAACAACAGAGTAGAACAACTAAACAGTATGTTGGTTTTTAATTTGAAATTTGGAATAAAAATTAGCAGCATTCAAATATCTGAGAATAATCCTTCATTAAATGTTTTCTATTCTGATTGTGTAATAAGATACTCTGGTTTAGCCCAATGTTATAGTTATACAAACAGTAAAATGATAAAAATTGCACACAGTAATTGCTGTTTAGATTTTGTGTGCAATAACTCTCAGGACAAAACATTCTTTGTTAATCAATCTTCCCTCAGGAAAACACAGGGATTATTCAAAAAATTGATTGAAGACAAAGAGGAGTAGTCTTCAGCATTAATTTTCAAATGCATAAATATTAACTTGCAATTTCATATCTTCAAAATGATTTATTGTTGGTGTTACTTTTAGCAATTTCAGAAACATTACTAAGATATAATACAAAATAATGTAAAATATAAAAAGGTAGAGTTTTCTATGAATTAATTTAATTACTCTAAACAACTACAGCCTTTCCACTGTACGACCCGTGCTCAAGGGTGTAACTGAATTGAGGGTGCAGTCCTGTTGTTTCAGGACGGTCAGCTTACTCAAGGACTGCAGAACTGGGAATCACTTTCACGTGCTTTGCATATGCTTGGAGCAATATTGCATCTATTAATCATTCCTGCCTTTCTCTCCTAGAGAACAGTACACTCAATCCGAACCGACTGCATTTCTGTGCAATATATCTTTTTTGCAAAGCTGGAGATATTTTACCTCTAGGTCTCCTTTGGTAATGGATTCTTCTTCCACACGGAACTGAAGGTCTTCAACTTTCCTGTGGGGACAATTCATTAAAATTCAGCTAAAACTGAAAGAAAATTCTTTTAAGCTCACTTTTCAGTGGAAGTCAGAACTACAGTGACATCATTCTGATTGTCCCAGCAAACCGCCAGAAACAGCAAGGAGAAATCTCTCACAGGAAGCATCAGAGAGAAGGAAAGATGCTGCCTTTAAAATACAACCACTGACAAAGCAAGGCATCGCGCTTCCTGCAGCTCTATAAAGAAAGTATTCTGTTGCATTTTCTGACAAGTTAAAAAGAAAACCTTTAAGTCCTCATTGGTTCTCTCATTCTTTCACCCTTCTGCACGTCCTCAAAAGAGGTGACCTAAATGAATGGTTTGATCTCACATTCTGCGTGTTCTACCATTTACCCAAGCAACAGTCAGGAACTTCGGACACATCCAAGACACCCATGGGCCTTCTAGAAGTGCGTGTGGTCAACTTGCATCAAAACTCTAAACTCTAGCACAGACAAACGTTTTTTAGCTGTCAAGATGAACCGAAAGATGCAGAATTGGAACACAAGCTCCATTGCCTTGCCTTGCCCGTATGGGAGTCTCAGAATGAGAAGGCAGAGGCGAGAAGCTGGTGTCTGACTTAAATTTACATTTGTAAAAATGTTATTTCTTCCTTCCCCTGACTCTGGTATACCCCAGTGAACAAGGGCCTACATCTCCTCCTATTCCCCTTGATCCTTTCAACACTGTAAGATGTTGCAAAGGAAGAGACAAGCGTGTCTTCTTTCCTTTGAATTACACACATCGCTGGTGCCCGCAGCTTGGCTGACAGATGTAGAAATCACTGCATCAAAGGGAGTTACAAGTGATGGATGTCTAAAATAAAAGGACAATAAGAACTTATTACTGGAAGTGGGTCTCACCGATGTGCTTTGGGAAACAGAGGATTAAAGATTATTTGACTTCAAATCACTGCTGAGACTGACTTGAATACATATTAAAGAGAACCTTCAAAGTAAATAAGCCTAGAGCGGTTAGGTGGAAGGAGAAATATTGCACTGCTGAAGCCATGGAATGTTTTCCCGGCTGCAGGACGTCACTTCGGTGAATGGGTAGCAGGCGCACAGCGGCACCGCCGCGCTGCCTAGCAACACGCTGAAGGTGAGCTCAAGGCCATGGAGGATTGCGGTAAAACAGACCCCCACTGACCTGGCATTCAGCAAAAGTAGGTCCACAGCCAGGCTACCGGAGATGCTGCAAAGCTGCCTTTTTTTTTTTTTTTTAATTTTAAAACCCACTGCATTATTTCATAGAGAATATACAAATAATTCCAGACCTAACTCTACTGCTTGTTTTGAAAATTGAGTTAGAGAAGGTCCCATAAAAAGGCAGCAGGAAAACTGTAAAGGAATTGCCCAGGGTTTACCATTGCATTTTCTCATCTCTGATTTCTAGTTTTAGGGAAGCCTTTCACAGGCGTTGACATCTGCCTGATTTCACGGGGGCAAACAAGCCTACAGGGCAGACTCACAATGGGTTTCTAAATAGACTCTCCCTTTTCAAAAGCATTCCAAACCCACCAAACCAATCTATCAGCTTATTTCCTCACCTAACCTCGTCCCAACAATTTCCTTTCCTAACCTCGCTTTACCTATTTGGTAATCTCAGTTCCTTCCTCAAATGGTTACAAAAAGCTATTAGAAAAGGCATTAAAATTAATGGCTTTGATGATTTTCCGGTAAAAGTCAGACCCTACCTAGACGCACACGACTACTAGTAATAAATTATTCACAAGAGAACTAAACTGTAAATTCTCAGTCCAGCACTGTCAGGAAATTATATGATCAAAATTTTCATTCTGAAGTGGAAGAGAGTTTCCAGAAGATCAGGCATGATCCCCTAATTTCAAATGAGTAGGAATAAGATCCTTTGTAACAGAAAGCAATAATAAAAAGAATGAGCTGCATGAAATTCAGCTGTAAACAATAGTTACAATTTCTAAACAAGTCCACATTCTTTGGCTTTCCCTCCCCAAGTTTAAGACAGTTTCTGGTTTAGTTTTAATTTTAAGAAATTGCAATATGATTTTATACAATAATTACCCATATCTGCATTATTCAAAATTTGTTTCATATTTCAAAGTCACCAGAGTAGTTGCTTTCAATGCAAAGTTTATTTTTAACAGTTATACTAATAAAGACAGTTTTTGGTTACCTTTTCTCTTCCTCAAGCTGATTGAGAAGCTCCACTTTCTCCCTGTCAGCAGCCTCCACCATAGCTCGTAGCTGGTCCATTTTTGCTTCCATCTCCAGTACATGCTAATTAGCAAGAAGAATAAGAACAAAATCTTGGAATCTTTTTCCCAGTTATGTATCTATACCTCAGTAGTCACATTTGGTAAAGCGATGGGCCAAAGCACAGCAATGTTATCATATTCACAGAATGGTCAGGGTTGGAAGGGACCTCTGGAGATCATCTAGTCCAACCCCCCCGCCAGAGCAGGGTCACCTACAACAGGTTGCAAATAAGCATATAATAAAAGAAAACCATCACTTATTGAGACGTGGAGAGAAGTTCAACCAAAATTAGTTAATGAAATAGATTTGCTATCTCATTAACCCAAAGTTCCCACAAGGAAGATCTCATAGGTATGGAGTACTTTAGGTTTAGAACACCACGTCGTACTTCTAGACCTTTTCAATAAGAAAACACAAGTTTGAAAATTAAGTCAATTGTCTTAAAGCTTCTATGTTAAGAACAGCAACACTGCTCTTACCCGATCATGTCCATCGCGAACAAGTGCTAATTCCTGCTCTATTTCCCCTACGTGACTGGTTGCTTTTGCAACTTCTGCCCTCTCCAGGTCCCTTTCTGCCAGGAGCTGTTCAATGTGTTGCTGCTTCTCCTTCAGTGCCTCCTGCAGAGCTGTGGTACCAGAAATTTTTCTTGCATACCGGGAGGATGTTTCTGTCAACTTCACAAAGTAAATATGTTAAAAATCATTCTGTATCAAGTGAAAAACAGGGATATCTCCAGACTCTACAAACATTGAGTTAGTAAAGCAAATGCTTTCTGTAACCTACAGTACACTCTCCTTTTACATTTAAATTACTTTATTTTTTAGAACGTAACAATGGCAATACATGTGTAGCAAGACTGCTTGGTAGCAGTGAGCAGGTAGTGTGTAGGAGACAGAAGGGTTGAGTCAAAACAAAAGGCTGGCCCCAGTTGAGCGTGTGCTTAGTGAACTCACACAAAGGACAGAAACACTGTTTCTAAGTGCCTTTTGCATTAAAAAAAAAAAAAAAGGCATCCTTTTTGCAAGTTAAAAATATTGTGCCTCTAGTTACCAAGTCATCATCTTGGGTCACCAGCAAAAGTATAATATTTCCAAACGCTCTGCCAAAAGCTTTTGGAACTCCAGCTAGCATTTTGCACCTCCACCATGGGAATAAAACAGAGAGGATCAAAAGCATTTACCTTGACTTAAAAAGCCAGCCTTACAGCTAAAACCTTGCGAGCAACAATTGGTATCTGGTTCAAATATATATGTTTATATCACTCGGAATTAAATTACTTCTGGAAAAAAAATCTGAAAGATTAAATATAGGAGTATAGATAAAAATGAATCAATCTGGAGAACTATAGCTAAAATGAACCTTGGGGTTTTCCTTGACCTTGCATGATTCTCTGCGCCACTGAATGGAACCAGTGTCAGTGAAAATTCAGCATGGCCCTGTCTTCTACTTCCTCAAGAGTTTCTGAGCTAGAAGGGAAAGTAAATAAACTGAAATTATGTAGTAAAAGTGAACCAGAGCTGTGAAAACAGCAAACCGAACCAAAAAAAATCTGATACAGCATATAAAAACTGACTTCATGCTTGACAGCTCCGAAATCTAAGTATTAAATGGGAATGACATCTAAGTTAAAGCCTTACTTAAAACAAAAACCAATAAACAAAGGCTTGCTCTTCTGTTATGTTAACCTTTAGCTCTGTCTAATAGTATTGCCCAAGAATAGGAGCATGTTCCTTCCACGATCCTTTCAGAGATGAAAATGTTGAAGAATAGTTGCCATATACAGCCTGGAATGCTGGCATTGGACATCGTCCCCAACAGAGAGCATAGCACGGACGTATCCTCCTGTCACCGCAAAAACACACTCCCCCTTCTGTTACCATGATTCCTCCACAATCTCTCTAACTTGTCTACTCACAGCCTTGAATGATGCATCTACAATGCATTGCAGATGCTGTATCAAGTGACAAAAGGCACCAGATAGAATAAACCATCTTTCACTTTGATGCTGAGGTTTGTTTCCGACTCTCTCAGTTTCTTGAAGAAAGCTTCTTGCTTTTTAACAACTCTAGCACTTCGAATCAAATTACTTAATTCCTGATTCCAAAAGAAATCCAAAAGATTTCAGAGAAAGATCAACCTCCTTCCGACTTGGCAATAAATACAAATTGCAACAGGCAGCCCTCTTAAATCGTTACATCACCTACTTCGACAGTTGCTTTTCTTACACAGGAAGAAGAAAACAGCAACAGCCCTGAATAATTGATAAGACTATGTAGGAGCCCCGCAATTTCCAGATAAGTTATAATTTTCCTGGAAACTAGAGGAAGACAAGTCTGTTGTGTCAAAAGTGACTTCAGGAAATCCTGTTTCTTCAGCAGCTTAACTTTTAAAGAGCAAGTGTCAGAATTATTTTGACAGTCCTTGTAACTTGGATGGCAACCAAATGCTCACGTTGCCCGAGAAAGACAGTTGGAAGAAAGCTGGAATTTTAATTCCAGAAACAATGGAATACAGAAGGTTTATATTTTACGGCCCAAAACAGGCAGAAGGCCTGGAGCACAACACAGAGGCAAAATAAGCAAATATACCGTAGCATTTACAATGTGTAACTGTACTCTCTTTCTGCTTAGAGCATCACAGCATATAAAAAAAAATGTAGAGGTCCATATTGATGCTTCACCCCCAGCTCACCACGGCTGCCCTGAACCCGAGGCAGCACCACGTTAATGCACCGGTTTCAAACTAGAGGGCACTCTGCAGCTAGAAGCGCAACTTCCAGGACGGATTAAGTAATAAAGTCCAGTGTCTGCGCCAAATAAAAAATCCCTTATGCTTTCTGTGATAAGGTATTAACCCTGTTGCCCTGACCAACTGTTGACCTCTGTTCACTTGTAATCTACTTCAGTTTTGAAGGAGTACAGTAAGTCACCTCTCCTGTTCTGCACCTGCTGGTCAGTGGGACACTATGCCAGCTAACCAGTTCCAGGTCAGTGGGAGTGATCTCTTTCTAATTAGATGTATTTATGTACTTTGGTTTAAAAAAAGGAAAAATCTAGGGTGACTGTGGAAAAACCCAATTATTTCTATGCTTTTAATTGCCTTAAAAGAGAGACTTTTTAAAATTCAGCTTTCCCAGAAGATTTCCGTTTCACTGCTGCAACCCAAGATTAGGACATTTATGTAACAGAGTAACTTTAAAAGAATCCGTAGTAAGTTTATTAGGTGGAATTAGTACTGTTAGAATTCACCTGAGCCACTGTACTTTGCAACATTTAGTCTGTATGAATTCATAGGATTAAAACCAAATCTAAAAGAAAAGAAAGAGGCTTCTTGTCAGCAAAGACTTGACAATTGCTGTATTTCTCAGCTGACTTATCTCTTTAACAGTCAAAGAAAACTTTTTACATTTTAGACAATTTGAAGCTTCCCGCTTATTAACACAAGTTTGATCTATGGAAGCTTTAGTATATGCCGGATCCTCAAACACAAACCCCGTATGACAGAGGTAGTGCTAGGAAAACGAACAATTAAACGGAGATTCCAGTCAGAGAACACTGGTGCCTTTACAGACTGTTGGTACCAAAAGCCCCTTTCTTATTGCAATAACTCAGTTAGCCTGAATTAACTGTGTAAGCTTACATATTCAAATATTCAGCTACTCTTCAGGGCTAGCTAAGATTTCCTTCCTTCATGCATGCTTTGAATGAAAAAGAGAGCACAATTCAATGCATATTACGCTCTCCCCAAGATCCGTGCTATGCTCAATTTGTGCAAGTAGACCACAGGCAAGTGCCGCATGGATTCCTGCTTGGGAACGTAAAGCATGCAACAGAAAAAGAAGCTTACTAGTCCTGTACGGCTTGGCTTGCTGCTTACTGAAGATGCCACAGAACTGAGAGAGCTCAGGGAAGATGCACTTGGGCTCCGTTTCAGGGCTGTGGGAGTCGCAACCACTTTTCGCACAGTTGTCTTTGCTTTCGCTGGTGTGGTCGACGGGAATCCAATCTTCGTAACTTTGTGGACCGGAGCAAATAAACCGTATTTTGGCTGACACTGAAAATACCTTTAAAAAAGCAAAGCAGATAGATGAGTACTAAATTAACTTCGGTCTTTTCAGATACACGGTCTGGCTTCATAAACAGTTCTAATCAATGGTCTAAGAGTATTAAAGGACAGGGTAACAGCTGGTGACAATCTATTCTATATTAGATTGCAATTATTTTTTTTTAACACTATATTTGGAAAGGGGACTTTGAGAGCTGAAACAGCATGATTATATTCTACTGCAAAAATTCAACAGAGCAAACTCTTGAGCTAGAGCTGTTTCCTAAAAATTCCATTCAGATTCAAAATTTAACACGCATAGCTTTAGTCTTCCATACATTCCTCCGAGTTACCAACAACAAATCTGATAGCACAGAGTTAAAAATAAAATTAGACTTTAATTAAATCACGTAGTCTCATATTTTATTACATACATACCTATAGCTGTATGCATATCTGATTATACACAACATATCTTTGGCTATATATAAACAAAAGCAACTCAAAATTTGAAATTGTGATCACCTATGTGAATGTGGCATAATCCTTGTAAAACCTCTTTTTAATGAGTTAAAGGACTGTTCCTTATACCAAATGAGAAAGACAGTGAAATGGTGGTGTGAATTAACGCTTTCTAAGTGTGACTTATTGGAGGAAGCAGCTTTACTGTTCCTGATTCTTACAACGAGGCAAGTATTGGTTTAGCAGCTTTTATTTCCTGTGATGCAGGAAGATTTCCCTTAAGTTCAGCTATTAGATACCCAGAGATATTTTCTTAACTGAGCATTCATTCCAAGCTGAGAAACCAAACAGACTTTCAAAAACCAGGAAATTGTGTTTGCCATTACCAGTCTGTGAATAAAACTCACATGGGAGTAGGAGAGAGCAACTAATCCCATGAATGTGGGGTTGATGCAGACTTTCAGACATGTGTAGGTGTCATAAAATTCAAATCAGTGTCTAACAATCCCGCCCCCCCCATCAGCAGGCAGTCGGGTTTATAGCCTACCTATATAAAGTTTCCCTGATATAAAGTTTCATCTAAGATAGTAAAAAACCAATAGAATATAGAGATGCAAAATCTTTAAGGCGGCCGCTGTCTGGTAATAGACTAACCTTGTTCCAGCAACAGCTCCATCATTCTTCCCCAGAGGTTCATCCAGTTCTACTCCGCACCACTCTCCTTTAGCAAAGTCAGTTTCTCCCAAGAAACGCACAACTCCAGCTTTTGTCCCACCAACCTGAAGCAGTAAGACACACAACTGCATTTAACACATTTCCACATTAAAATACCAAATAGCACATAAAAACCTTTCGGTATACTCATGTTCACAAAGCACATGAACGATGTGACGGGTTCTTATTTCAAGCTGCATATTCTTTTGCCCGAGTTTGTTTCAATACGTTGAATAGGTCTTCACAACCAAATTGTTTACAGAAGAAGACAACCCAGTAACTTCCCTAGGATTTAGTCCTATCCAATTTGGTAGTCAGGAAGTTTGTCATGATTGAAGGCCACAATTCTATTAGATGACTTCATGCAGCTATAAGGTTAAAAGTATATGTAACAAGACTCAGTACAGTCAGCGTACTGAATGCAATAGATTTGTACTACAGTTTCACAGAAATCTCTATCAGCAAATAAGGATTTCTAAGAACTGTTTATTTCTTATTCTAATTCTGAGAGGAAAAGTAAAAAGAAACGAAACAAGAAAAAAAGCCTTTCATGTTTTCTCTGAGGAATAGTTCAGATAAACTACATAGCACAGCCCTCCTGCATTTCAAAGAACTAATACAAAGCATAATGCATAACACTTTGCAAAACTGTAGATGCAAACAGCTATCTGAATTCTTGGGGAGGAGGGAATAATTTTCTTGATCTTGTCTTCACTTGTTTTTCTTTTTAAAAACAAAGGCCAACCAACCAAAAAAACCCAAACAACCAAACCCCCAAACCAAACCAAAAACTCCAAATGTAACACTCCTAAATGGAATATTAGGAATCAGTTGTTCTCAAACTTAAAATATTAAATCTTTACAGCCATTCCAATCACTTACAATGTCTGCAAGACACAGCTTTTTATATTGCCCAGGAAATGAAGTGAAGAAGGAAAAGGTGTTCAGTGTGGCTGACAGTTGCCAAGAAGGGCCACGAGCCAGAGCTGCAGGATTCTTGCAGGTCACAATGACAATATGTTGTGCCCTATTTGTGTGAAAATCTGTTCGGGCTGCATCCAGCATTATGAAAACAAGCAAATGGTAATGAAAATCTCTTCAACAGACTCACTGAATTCAACGTAGACATTTTGAGGGCCTTGGGTTTTTTTTTTCCATTTGTGTTTTCCAGCATGCATTATACAACAATGAATATTTTGTAGCCTTGGCAGAGATGTAACCTGCTAACATGACGACTGTAATTTTCCTTTTTTATACTAAAAAATATTAGGATTTCATATAATTTTTACATCAGACATTCTATTTCTCGGGGGGAACTTCCCAGGATAACTAGAGAACAACAAGCTCCTTGTGCCATAAATTAAGGTGCGTGAACAAAGTACACCAGCTAATTCATATTAATCCATTTGGGAAGCGTTCACACAGGAGGTTAACTGTGAGGAATCTGGGAACGGGGGACATTATCTCGCATGAAAGCACTAAGTGTCCACAAAGTACTAAGGCAGTGCACAGTAGTTGCCCTACGCATTTGTGCTGTAGCTTCTGGCTCATCAAGTTCCCAGAGCCGACAGCTCTGTGAGCAATGCAAGGCTTCAGCTGGGACGGGGAATAAAAAAATAAATAAAATCCTAATCCACAGAAACCTCAGAAAACCAGGTAAGAATAATTAACCTTTTTTTGATATGACCAAGATGAGAAATGGCAACAGACATCTTTTGCCCATATTTAAGGTGTCAGTCCCCTTCTCTCTCATTAGAGCCAATCTTGAAACAACATTTAATCTGCAAATTAGCTTTATATCTTGCTTTAAGTGGCACCGTATCAAATTATTCTTCCTCACGGAATAAAAATACACGAAGTTTACAGCTATCATGACTCAGCCTAATATAGTAACTAGTAGAACGTTTGGTATTTAGTGTTCTTGGCAGAGAACAGGCAAACTTCCCCTCTCAAAAAACAAGTACGAGTACTGTCTTAGAAAAAAAGAATCGTAATGGGCCAAAACAGTCACATGGAATCCAGATCGCCTCTGTGGCACACTGACGAAGAGGGAACATATAACACTTGTTAAAAGTATTTTTTGGGAAGAACTATCCCTTAAGTTGACACATTATTCACCCTCAGACATAACCCACTTCTTCTAGAGGATAAATATCAATCCTAAATAAGTACAAACATCAAAAAAATTAACTGAGCAGCATGAGAGAAAAACACGCGCTTGTGTGGGCTGTCAGTCCATACGACATCTTCCAGGTTGTCCTTCTTATTCCTTTTCCAGCAAGTTTGGGGCGTTTTGTTTGTTTGGGTTTTGGTTTTGGTGTGTCTTATTTTTTCTTTCTTTAAAGATAAATTTGGAAGACATCTTTAGGTGAAAAGTCTGGCTGGTTCTGTCTGTACTGTTTCCCTATGCAATTTTGTACTGTTGTCTGCCTGAATAAACAGAGTTAAAGCAAACGAGGCTGTAAAGACCCATTAAAGAAATTAGACAGGAAAGCTACAACAATAGCCTAGATAAGGAGCATCCCTTCAAAGACAATAGTCAGGTTTGGGTTGCACAGAGATTCCTCCGCTCCTCTTACAGAACTGTTCAGCCAGGCCAAGGAATTTTATTGCAGTTTTGTAGAGTGAAGGGGGTGTGTGTGTGTGTTTTGTTTTTAATTAACAGAAGTCAACTACCAAAACACACACACACAAGCACAAAAAAACCCCTTCTCATAAAAAGGTAAATGCGATATGCAAGGTAAGGGTGTCCTAAGCACTGTAGTGGAAAAGGGTAACTAGATGCGAAGACTCCCAGAGACGGGAAAAACTGTTGCAATCTGTTCCCTCCAGCTCAATCTGTAAATAACCCTCTAGGTAAGGAACACCAGGCTCCAGGATAATACAGATTAAACCTGGATGCAGAATATTCATTCCTTTTTGTTTCATACCTTGGCCCTGCTCGTTTTCCACATCTAGGTAAAAAAAAAAAAAAAAAAAGTATGGCATTTACTGTGAAGAAATTGCATCCAAATCACAAAGCGGGAGACACAACCCAGCAGAAAAGCTTTGGCAACAACCAGCGCCCATTGGGTGTGCGACAGTGATCACAGCGGATGTGCTGGGACTGCAACCCAAGGCCCGGTGGGAGGGAGCAAATGGAGGAATTCATATCCCGAGAACATATGGGGATGCGCAATATGAGATCCCCAAGAGAAACAGCAATGTGCCTAGTCTTGTAACCATGGTACCAGGGTTATTTTAAAACAAGATGCAAGGAAGAACGCCAAGGAATTTTTGTTTTTTCCAAACCTAGTCAAGCTTCTTTGAATAACCGGCTACTACATCTCTGCTTTCCGCAAATATTGAAATGTGTATCCTTACCAATAGTAGGAATCTGAGTACACTGTGGCAGTAAACTGCTCACAGCATCGACAAAAGTCTATATATGCAGTTTTGCTCAATTCTAAGCAAAAGTCTTCAGCTTTAAAGACAGGGTCAGCATTGCTCTATGAAGCCTGAATCTACTGAAGACTTACAGTCATTGACAGACACCTGCCTCAAATAATATATTTATCTGCAGCTGCAATTAAATACTCTGCATGTGACAACACACCTACCTTGAAAGCACTTAGGAAAATTATCACTTGTTCCCTTGGTAGTACAATGGGAAACGCAACTGTACACCACAGTACGGTAAAGGCTTTTCTATGCATAAAAGTTGCTGTACATATACAGACTTACAGTGTTCTAAAGGGGAAAAACAGATTAAGACGTGATTACACTAAACTTTATATACCAATATGAAAAAAGAATTGTACTTACAGAATTATAGCATTTAGTACAGAATTACATAAAAATTATTTTTTTATTAAACTTATAGCAGAAAATGTAAAAATAAAATTAAATTTAAAAAACCGAACAAAACAAACCCAAAAAACTAGTTGCATTTGCCAGCGGATCTATTTCCCAGTAGTGCATGAAGGACTAAAAAAAAAGTCCAGTTTCTAAACCAAACAGGAAAAAAGTTTATTAAAAAGTTTCTAAAAGTTATATGGAAAAAATGGGGCATCACTACCACGAAGACAGTTTTCCATGACCTTCATTCATGCTAAGGCAGGTCACTAAATAATAGATCAGAGAAAAGAACTGCCAGACCTTTTTTTAGTCAGTTATCACACTCAATATAGTCAAGCTGTAAAATGCAAAGCAATAATAAGCCAGAGAATCTAGGTTAGGCTACGGGTCATTGTGAGGTGAGGAAATTTGCTTGGAATTCACTAGTGTTATGTCAAACACATGGGAAAAGTGATTAAATTCTATTTGTCAAATTATAACTAAGCTTCCATTAACTTGCTGCAATGTAAAGTGAAGTAGCAAAATGGGTTTGTAAACCTGACGCAGTTAAAAACTTCCTGATTAAAGCACACTGGGATGAACACGTCAAACTGCGAGGACCTTTGCAGACCTGCATTGCCAAAGGTAAGTAGGAGTAGGAAACAAATAAACCACTGTAATCCTGGGATCTACTCATCAGAATCTTCTTTCTTAAAATTCAGAGGAACCGTTTTCAGCTGGCAAAAGTAATTTTATTTAACCGATTTGTTCACCCATCCAAGGGCAGAAGGAACCATCAGATCATCTCCTCTGGCTCTCCTGAAACAGGTCTTTACATTTCACCCAGTTACATGTGTAATTAACCCTGTAACTACACTGGGCTAAGCCGTATGTGTTGATGTTTTTAGATCAGAGCTGATATCCATCAGAAAACATGCTTCCACTGACAGTCTATTTTCATAGTTAATCACTCCATTGTTAAAAACATATTTAAATTTGAAATAAAACAAATTTGACTGTGGCTTCTAGCCACTGACTCTCATTATGCTTTTATTTTAGAAGATTACAGAGCTCTTCAGCAACTGGCATTCACCATGCAGGAACACGTTTTAAGCAAGACACCTCAATTTTTCCCTTTGTAAATTAAACAGATTGAGTTCTTCAAATCTTTTATTGGAAGATACTTTCGCTTGAGTCATTTTGCAGCTGTGTTCTGAGTTCTCGCCAACGTTTCCAAGGGGCTTTTGAA